TAAACTTTCGTTTTACATGTCTTCACTACATTAAAAGTATTGGTTTTTTTTAAAATAAGATTGTCTCTCTTCCGCCCAGAAATATGATAAACGCATCCATTAAATTAAACATACATTTTGCAAAAGCTAAATCTGCCAATTGCAGTTCTTTTTTTGGACCTGAAATATTATCTAAATTATTAATTAAACATTAATTAACTTATCCAGACTATAATCAACTCTCGATGGCATCGCTAGCCTGCGATATTTACTGGATTATGATCCCATTTGCTGTTCGACTTCCATTCATAATTTAATCATGAAATGGATGATCGATACTATGTTTTTTATCATACATGTCGAAATTTCAATCGCTTAATTCTCGGTTCATAGTGGATCAATTTGACTGAAATTTTCAGCAAATTGCCTTTACATTATCTAGTTTTTAACTATTATAGTGAGAACTGCCAGCTCTTTATCTTATCTCCCATAATGTATCTTTAAATATTCAAACCATTTTAATTGCCACTTACTTAATTGTTTGTTCCCTTAAAGGCCTAGATGAGTTTCTAATCTACAAAAATCAGTCATATAATATGCATGTATATTATCGAAGGACATATTTTTACAACAGATCATTATCACTCAACTAATAGTGTTAATTAGTCTTGGAAAGCTTGGCTCTCCACTTAACTAATCAACTATTCTAGGGCTTAGCTCATCACTAAAATGAAAACTTTGGGAATTTTATTGCTGGAAGTCTTGCTCTGTTGGATTTAACGTAAGCCTTTTTTTAAATGTAAATTTCTCTAAAACTTAAATAGCAAATAAAAAAAGAAGAAGAAAGCCACGACAAAGAACATTGAAGTTAGATCCGTTTTCATGAGTCCGTTTACATGTAACCGGCGAAAACGTCCGCGGAAACGCCGCGGAAACACGTGCATGGATAACCATCCTCGGCATCCTCAGTGGTCTCTTTCCGTTACACTCCACTAACCCCTGGGTTCATCCATTAGGAAGACACGTATTTAAACTATCTGCCCTTGATAATTGTGCTATTTTTACTGACCAATCAAAAAAATCGTTAAATACCTAAGAACTGACATAAAAACATCTTTACGATCGAAAAGATGTTTTATGACATCTTTTTGTGTGCATGTCACTTCTTTTATATTAAATTTATTGCAAACTTTCTCACAATCGAGCGATCAAGCAGCCATATTGTTGTGAACGTAAACAATGACGCTAAGACTGGTTTGTAAACAGTTATTCGTTTGGTTCGTAGACTCAAGCTACGATCAAGAGCAGATAATTTGAATACGTGAATACCCCAGATTGAACCCAGGGTCATAGTAGAGTAGAACTGAATGGGACCACAGAGGATACCGAGGACGATAGATAACGTTTTCTGTATAGTCTAATTTGAACATATTTAAAGCACGTCAAATCGGAAATTGTTTTGTTTTGTTTGTTTTTTTCGACCGGCAAATATAGCCAAGGGGTTTCTGCTTTAAAATCTCAATACTCCAGACTAACTGTATTTTAGTTTTAAATTCTTTGACAATTCTAATTAGTTGTGTAGGTAGACTTTAAATCGTTATGTGTGTACAACGGTTTTTAGTTTCTTTTTAAAAAATTTTGTTCGTAAAGTCAAACGTTTTAAAGTTTGAAATTTAAATTGTTGTTGATTAAATTTTTGTTGTTGATTTTCAAGATGCATTCCCGTGAAAATACATTTGTAGTACCAACAGTATAAATTAACTCCCAGCTTTGATAATCGTATTTAAGAAAACTGGGGCAATGAAGACGGAGCATACCATATGAGGAAAACTGTGTTATGAGGAAAATTGTGCTCTGACAGCGGCGCTACGGCATACTCTTATATCGAATTGCAACTGCCAAGGGATCTTTTACTTGAACGTCAAATGTGTACATGGGACCTCTGTTTTTCGTCCCACCCGAAAGATTATGCGTTGTCCCTCTGTCCTGCATCACTGACACGGAGGAACTACGCCAATACAAGGATCGTATTAAAAGTGGTCCACCAAAAGAATTTAGCTAAGATTATAGTGGCTCTGGTTTGTTTTGATAATATCCAGAGGATGCCGAATGTGGAGAAATTTTTGATTGTCATATATTTGTAAATATTGATCGCAATTGAACAGTTTTTGATCTAATATTTCATTTAGAGATTCACTCTTAAGGCCCGGTCCCACTGCACTTACGGATGCAAAGAGGATCTAAAACGGGGGGAAAAAACGTGTCCTCCGTTTGAAAACACCATGCATCCGTTGTGTACTCATTGCATACGTGTTTCATACGCTCTATCCATGGAGCATCCGTTCACTTTGATTTCATCCGCGCAAAAAGTTTAGAGCTGCACAAAACGTTTATAACGGATGAACTTTCTGCCGTGTACGATGTAAATGCGGGACATGTACGAGCATCAAACGTTCCATGTCCGTCATCGTCCGTTAAACGTCCACTGTATCCTCTCTGCATCCTCTGGGCATTCTCGCAACTCACATCCGCTCCAGCTGAAAACGGAAAGAGGGAGGAAAGATAAGGTACATGAAACGTCTATACATCGTTAGTAGCACGGAAATAGAAAGGATGTAAGCGTATGCATCTCGTATATAAAGTTTTCAAAACGGACAAAGCGTTTGTGTCTGGGATGTATCTGGTATATTGAAGGATGTCTGGAGTTTGCCTAACCCCTTCGAAGCTGTCATCCACTTCCATCCACTAGGCTTCCGATGAACATCCATTTAACATCCCCGCTACATACTTCCCACGTTCGTTCTTTTCCGTTCTGTTTTCGCAAATTTTCGTCAATTTTGTCCATTTCTGGAGCGGATGAAAACGGATGGAGCCACCCCCGATAGTTTGCTCGTCCGCTGTGTCCTTTTTTGCATACGTTTTGTGTCCATCGGCCACTGGGACCGGGCCTTTAACAACCAATCTCTCATGTGACGACGTTAGGCGATTCTAATGATTGACTCATACACAGTCTTGCTTTGAATTTTCAACAAAAAAAAACTGACGTTAAATTGAGGACCGGTTAGGGGGGGGGGGGGGGGGGGGCACCTGCGACACTTGTCCAGGGGCCCGGAACCGTTAGGGGTCAGGAGGTATGACGAGTAACGTTGTTGTAAAAATTTGTTGGTATAAATTGACAAAAAAAAAATACCTTGTAGACGATCGTAGAGTGGAAGAAACCCGGTGAATGTGGGTACCTAGTAATTTGTGTAGGGTTAGAATCTGATTCTGTCAGTTCAGATTTTTTGGAAAAATTGGTGAATTTAAAACTATAAATCACCTGTCCGGTCCTTCACGCCGCGGGATCAAAGCCCGTCCGTGCTCCATTTGAGCATCTTGTCACGGCCAGGGTATTTTGGCTCCGGCAGGTAATCGGGCCCTACCTAGTCCGGGCCTGTTGAACGTAACAATGATGGCTAGCTACCAGTGTCGCGCTCTGTCGCCAGTAATTACCGATCGCTTATGTAGGCTGACTGGTATCCGATCATTAACCAGCGGCTACCAGGCACGATACGCCCTCATTTTGCAAGAGATGGATAAAGCTAAAAACAAAACGATTTTTTGTACAATCAGGGGCCATAATCCAGGAAGTTATGGTCTGAAATGTACAAATATCAAAAGGGACTCTGATTTTTGGAATATAAATATATGTTTCAAGTTTCATCAAAATCGGATTAAAATTGTGATCTCTAGAGGGGGTCCATAACCTTTGTATTACATACTTATACAACATCATATTGATTTTCCCGAAATTCCAATTCAACCTTCATTATGGTGGAATAGTGATATCTGTAAACGGTTTTTAAACTCGGAAAACAAATTGTGACCTCTAGAGAATCCACAAGCAAAAAATGCGATTTTTCGACCAATAACGGGCCAAAATCCAGGAAGTTACGTTCAGATTTGTGTGATTATCAAAAGGAACAAAGATCTTTATGATAAAAACATATATTTAAAGTTTAATCCATATCGGATCAAAACTGTGGTTTCAAGAGGGTCCACAACCTTGATATACCATATTTTTACACTATTTGCAACTCATGAGTAGAAGGGGAAGCCGGGCAGCCATTATGTCCGTCAGTTTTTGTCTGATTTTCACGAAATTCATCATTAGTGTATAACTGTGATATATTCACACGTTTCTTTTTTTGAATCGGATAAAAATAGTGACATCTATAGGGACCACAAGCTCAAAACGCGATTTTTCGTAAAATCAAGGGCCATAATTCAGGAAGCTACGATCCGATATGCACGAATATCAAAAGGAACCAAGATCTTTGGGTTATAAACATGCATTTCAAGTTTCATCAAAATATGATTAAAACTGTGACCTCTATAGGGTCCACAAACCTTGATATACCATATTTTCACACTATTCGCAATTTTGGTCCGATTTTCACGAAATTCGAACTCAACCTTTATTACGGTGTAACGGTGGGTGATATAATCAAACGTTTTTTAAAATTAGATAATAATTGTGACCCCCATCCAATACAGACGTATTTCGTCCCATCCAAAGGACTAGACTCTTTATCCTTTTCTTTGACTGAAGAGAACTTCATCATGTATGATCCAGATTGCGTGAAGTTTACTCAGCGAAGAATTTCGGCTTCTGCACCCTCTTGAGTAAAGTTACTGAATTCGACAGGGAGACGAGAAGATTTCAGCTTAAGGAGTAGACCAGACCATATTGTCGTCTATCGACCTAGTCTTTAGTTATGCACCGTGCGAGTACTGTGTGATTATGTCATATATCCTGATGTAAATAACATTTATATTTACAATGCTGGTCGTCTATTTAAAATAAAACGTGTTCATTGTCTGTAGAAAAAAAATGTATGTTACAATTTAACCGAATTATTTTATTTAAGAGGAGTTCAATGACAGTTGAAAAGTTGTTTCGGTGGAAAAAAAACATTTCAAAGAAATTTTGATCATGTTTTTATATAAACAATATTTTATTCAGGTTGTCTGAATGGGATTGGGGAACAGGCTTAGCCTATGTAAAATTCCTCCCCCTAAATAATATATATATATATAATATTATTGCAAATGGGTGTATATACATAGTTAAAATGGCAAACACATACATATTATATAAATATAATAGAATGGATGAAAATGTACAATAGATAAAGTAGGTCATTTTTTAGTAAACATCCGAAAAAATTCAAAATTGTACATTTAATAAATGGTAAAATACTATTTTATCGACATTAAAATCTTTTTGACCTATCAACATCTAGACTGTAGGTAGTGGAGCCGGATAGAAGACAATTTATGTTTTTAAAATCATGTTGTAGTTTGCCTAGGGTTTCTGTTCGTGCATTTGAATGTAAAGAGCATCGCAGGAGGTAATGCTCGGGAAGTTTATCACACAATTTAAAGTTAAAAACTTAATGGAATTACCAGTTTGCAAAGAGTTTTTAATAAATTAAACCAGTCTCTCAAGACTGTTGAGGATCCATGATGCCAAAACATCTTCATCCTAAATTCACAGACTATCAATTGGGTCGTCCTTTTAAGCTCGCATAGTTCCTCTGTCTTTTAGTCCCACATTATTTGAAACAGTTCATATGTCATTATTGGAAAAAGTCCAATTATTATTCGACATTTTGCCTTTTATCACATTTTGTTCTCAACCTACTCATTCTGCGAATACCATACCATTGGTCTCACCTGATCACTAACACAAAATAATCAAGACATAGCTACGTTATCCATAACGGTCATTTGTTGCTGACTTGGACTGCTTGACTTTGGTTTCTTTTGCCGTCTTCGTTTCCACCATTCCATAATATAAAGCGCCACAAATTCGGCCAGCTCAGTTACCGAAAGTATACTTGCTCCAAGAAACAAGCCCATATGTCCTCCCAGGTCAGCTGAAATATGAATACCAATTTCATTTGAGTTACCTTCAAGAAACTTGAGCAGTTCCTTAATTGAGTGGCAGTCGTTTGCGCCTGGTAGTTCAGTGTTCACGTTTATATTTTAGTCCTTTGTGGGTCTGCCATTTTTAATCATATCCGCATTGGTATGTTTTGCTTCATAATTTGTTCACCAAGTCTGCAGACCATAGAGAACCCGACGTCGGAAACTGATTTTAAAACAGTTATTATGTTATAAATATTGAACATCAAGAGCTCATACTGTCACGGCAATATAACAACAATATTGATTGAAATGGACTGATTCGTGTTTTTAATCTCCAATATTATGGATAATACTGAGTTATAGTGTTAGCTTCTTGAACTTAGCAGTAAATGTTCTTTATGTCTATGTGTAGTACTATATTCCACAAGATTTTTGACACAACAGGAAAATCCATACAAAAACCCCAAGTCACTTGTCATACTGTCATCAAATCCACGCGATCTATCATATTGCGAGGATCCACACCTCCATTCACGCTCCCCCGCGTAAAATTCCTAGTCGTCATATCTCTAACATTAAGCTGACTAAAATTTCGGAACATAATAATTTCGAAAATATTGATATTAATAATTAAGACGACAATGTACAACAAAATAGGAGCTGCGTTAAAGGAGCTAAGTCTCTAACTCGATATTTTCCATAATATTCAAAATTAAAAACACGAATTAGTATTCAATTTTGATCAGTTTCAATCCATATTGATGTTGTTATCTTGCGGTGAAACTATAGGATCCTAATCCAATATTTAAGATACAATTAAGATTTTATAATCAGCACACGAGTCGTGTACCCTATGGTTTCGGGTGCCATTTTGTAATGAACAAATAAAAACATATGCTACAACACAATGTGGCAGTAATTAGTAAAGGCTGATTCACAAACGACAAAATAATAATTTTAAAAAACGTACAGAATGCACTAAGCAGGCGTAAACGACTGCCGTTCAATTTGAACTGTTCGCGTATTTCACCGAACATAACTGATTACAAATTACGATATATTTTTTCAAAAATTGAATATAAATCACTTTAGATACATTCATATTCTATTAATATATGTGCTTTAAGAACCTTTTTTTGTTTATTTCAAGGTTCCAAAAACTAGAGCCTTACGCCCTTTAATATTGGCAGCTATGTTGCTCTTGAAATATCTATTAAGATATAATTGGGAATTATTAATCTTATGAGGTATTTCATTTTTTTTTTGATATTTTGAATATGCACTATTTTCCAATCGATGGTTATATATTTGAGGGTTCTACTTTCTGGGGAATGTATTAAATACAACTGAATCGTAGTGAAGATTAATAGAAATGATATTACCCAATATCCCCTGTACCGTCAACTCTGGTATCTGTTCTGTTTTGGTAACTGTCAAGGTATCGTAGAATATCCTCAAGTCAATAACATTGTTCCTATAATTGTAAATATAATGTAAATATCGTCGAATTTTCATTAGGAAGATTCTCGAAAAATACAAACAAGATAAGAAACTGGAATCCCAGAACAACTGATCTTATAATAATCATTTCACAAATAAGACACGCCCCAGTCCTTGCCACCTTTAAACGAGGTCTTCAACATTGCAAACAAAGACTTATTGATCAATTTAAATCAACAATGATGTTGTGATCTTGCCGTGAAAAGACGGGCTTCTAATATCTAATATTTAAGACAAGATGAAAATTTTTAAATTTGCACACGAATCGCGTGCCAGAATGCTTTTGTAATGAAGCGACTCGATGAATGCGCCTAAACATACCCCACAGGAGAATATTACCGGTGTAGACTGGAATAACCATGCCATTTAATTTGGACACTTGGACACATAACTGATTAGAAATTACAGTAAAAACAGAAACGATTGAACTTAAATCAGTTTGTATACAGTACATTCATAATACATTATTATATGCGTTGCGACCCATTTGTATCCATTTCTAGGTGCTGAAGAATAGGGATTTAGTTCCTTTAATTCCATCAGGCACACGTGTTTACTGCGCTACATACAAATACAGTTGTGAAAGTAACATAGATGTCACTAAAAGGAGTTCAAATTAATTGTGGAGTGTTTTAACACTCCACAATTAAATAACCGTCATTCCTTCCTTATTCTTTAACCTATTATCTGGCAGAGACAAAATTTAAACAGAGTAGTTTGCAACACATATAAAATTCTATAACCAAAATATTTACCGTAAAAGTCGAAAGTATAGCATGAGTTATCCATACTTCAACACTATAATTCTATATGGTTATAAAGAACGCTCATACTTAATCATGGCATCGTTGACATGTCTTGTGTGATGGGTGGGATGTTGCATTGTTGACGTACGCCAGCAGGTTAGTATTGTTAGAATGGCAACAATGACCACACAATGTGTTCTGATAGATATCCTTTATGTATTAATTCTGACATATTGCTACAATGACCGCAATCAATGGTTTGTTAGACATTCCTCATGTGTAAACAAATTAATGAGATTTGACATAGCACGTGTATTCTGGAACTTATCAATTGACTCAAAATAGAAACATCGGTCAAAGAAAGGTGCGGATATAGATATATTTTTTTTAATTGATTAAGACAATCGCCTTCATGGATAAGGGAGGTCAGTATAGATTACTAATTAGATTAGGGGTTAATTAGGTATTCTTGATATACCTGATTCTACAAATTAGGACATTATTTTTGTACCCACCACGAGACTATAAAATCCCTCCCTTCTCAGCTAATACACAGGGGGGTTGGGATGGCCTAGTGGTCTAGAGTGTCACGCTTCGACCTCTAGTTGGCCGGTCACCTCTGACTTGCGGCTGTGGTTTCGATCCCAGGTGTGAGCGTATGTGGCTTGGAGATAGGGGCTCCTTCTCAACCTCGTGGGTTTACTCCGGGTACTCCGGTTTCCTCCCACAGCAAAGACCCCTGCGCGTGCGCTAAGATCATTAAAATGAACTTGTCTGCGATATCACCTTCGGTGGAAGCGGACGTTAAACGCTAAGAACAACAACAGCTAATACATATTGTCTGCGATATCACCTCGGTGGAAGCGGACGTAAAATACAACTAACCAACAACAAGCTAATGGAACATTGGCTTAAAATCGCTTACGCATTCACATTTAGGGGAGTTATCGTTTTTAAAAACAGGAAGCGCACATAAATTTCTCAGACATCATTCTGCCACGATAGAGAGATCCAAAATTAGTTCCCGCACCATCTAGAGGATGTGACCAAAAACAATACAACACACCGTGGGCCTAAAATACAGAAAGCCCTAGGTGAACTCTTGCCAAGCTTACAGGGTGCTCCTAACAATCGCTTAGATGTATAAACTTCCAAGTTTGCCTAACGTTTACAAACATTTAGGTAATATCTGACTTATAGTTTCTTGAATTACTGGGCCCTTATTCACGAAAACTTAAACTAAGATACAATCGAAATTTTAAGAAATACTGCAATTCGATTGGCTGACCAATATGCAAATTGGATATATGCAAATTGATTTTACTGGTCAGCCAATCGAATTGCAGTATTTCTTAAAATTTCGATTGTATCTTAGTTTAAGTTTTCGTGAATAAGGGCCCAGGTATATAAACGCGTAATTAGAAAAAAATATAGGTTGCCCGGGTGTTATCATTAAAATAATACACCTTGGTAAGGTAGTAGTAAATAGCGTATCAAAAAGATGTTGTGGTCCTTTCGTCTCAAGTATGTATTGTCACGAACACTTTACCTATGTTAAAAATATTTGTTTTTACTAATGGCGTTATGTCACACAGAGTTTAGCGTCCGCCACAAAACACAACCTATGTCATTTCGGGACTAAGACATAGTACAATACTATTTTAATTGCTTGTGTGTAGAGGATTTTATCAGTAGGATGGATATAAAACGCACGAGTTAGCCCCCCCCCCCCACACACACACACCGTATATGGATTTCCATTTAGTACGATGGGGGTGGGGGCTGGCTTGTAATAAAGCATTTTGGAGTTATTTGACACAGCCACCATCCACGCATCGATTAATATGAGCACAACCGTCATTTTATATGTTAATACATTTAATATATCATATGCAAGAGAGCATTACAAGGATATATATAGCGTAAAATCAATTTTAACGGTAGAACACATTGTCGTAGGAACCCTGAAAACCCCCTCCTCCAAACCATAAATTTCTGGATGCCCCTGCTATTAGAAATAAGATTCTGATCCTAACCTTATATAATCGCTGTCTTGTGTCAATCCTGCATCAACCATATAATCAATTGTAAAACTTGAAGCAAAGTCAGCTGATGACAACTGTGTGTTATAACTGATAGTATGGCATCTACTTGGACAAGCAATGCACTTATGTACCACCTCCTCCATTGTCTTGTCTGGAAACGAAAATCGGAGAAAAAAAATTGGGAAAAATAGTTTATAGGGAAATATTTTTTTTATGTTACAGTTTCAATAAAAAAATTTCGTATTGTAATTTGACAAAAATACGGACAGAAAAGGGTTAGGTGCTGCTGTTTGGTCGAAATGAATTATTACTCAGACTCCGGCTAAAGATCCTACAGCATCACCACAAGAACAAGCAGAACAAGAATAAGCTTACTAAGTGTGTGCAGCCAGATCATGGTTTCATAAATATCTGTAGATTAGCAATTATAAGTTCTGCATTATTACGTCCATCATCCAAAAATATTCAAACGCCCGTTTTAAAAAAAAAAACGATGGTATGCGACATGGCCTGCTATGACAGCGACCCCAACCCAAACCTCATTTAATGGATAGGAGGCTGTTCCGTGCCAATGAATTCGTACAATATGTACAAACTCGTCCATGTTTACTATTTCTTGAACATTGATAGCCTCTCCTTATTGTAACGCTTTATTGCAACATACATTACCTGTGAATGTTGGAATGTAACAGTGTTCTAACTGTTCTAGAGAGCAAAAGTCTTCTTCTCCTGATAAAACAAATATAGGAAATATAATTAGCATTAGACTATATTTGCTAGACTTTTTGCCTATGGCAATATTGTAAACGCGAAATGTTATAGGGAGGTCTCGTGGTCGCCTGCCAATATTCCAGAATATACCTCTATCCACAGTAAGAACACGTTGCCATAATATGTTGTTCTTAACTCTCAATCAGTGTAAATAAACAAATAAACAACGACGTTCTCATTGTGTATTCACCTTCAATCAGAACACGGTGGCTTTGATTTGAGAAGGTGTTGCTGGTTTTTTTACATACAGTAACTGACAGATTTTCTCCTAACGCCATGTTCGACTTGTTAATTAAAGATACATTAATTAGTAAATAGCTAAATATGCCTATTGAAAGTCTTTCTATAGGCTTCAAATGTTATAGACATTATTAATTAGACCTTTATTCACATAACAAATCCAAAATCAACTCTGTAGACCCTCGGATGGCTTGTTGGGTACAGATTGGATTTAAACAGACGTCCATTTAATAAATAAATCATTGAAAAACTGACCATGCTAACATTTACCGTTAATCACTGACAACACTTCCGGAGACTAAGGTAGACATTGAGAATGTGACTTGATAATCGAGAACATCGGCTGCCAATCAAACTTTTTTATCATCTATTTTTGAACTGTTGTATCGAGAGTGGCCAACTCTTTATTATAATCTTAACTAATGTATTTTTTAATGAAACCATTATAATAACAGCTAATGAATAAAACCCGCCAGAGTTCTCCTTTAACACTACATTACCTGGACTAAAGAAGTGTCTGCATTCACATTGTTTAATCATATGATCAAGCACACAATTACGTTGACACGTAGATCTGGTGTACGTGTAGTTCGCGAATCTCTTCAGCGGTGTTTCAAATCCTTCCGCCCTCGTATTATAGCAATAGGATGTTCCAAAGGCTTTATATGGACTCTCCAATCCAATTCTCTACAAACACATAGACATAAATATTAATCCATCATTGTCACGGATCGCTTTGTTTTGACAGATGCCAATTTTCTATTTTGATGGGAATTTCCGATCTTTCAGAAGATTCGAAACGTTTCAGTCCTTTGCTCTCTCTGAATCACTTAACCGTAAGGTCTGTCGGTAATATAATTAAAATTATACTAACATTTAGTTATGTTTGATTTCTCGCGTGTTACTAATTTCATCTTAGGCTAAAGGCATTTCATTACAGGTTGCGTTCAGAAATGCGTATATTGGTAGTGGTCAATCCATATTCGACATGTCAATCTAGTGTAAATTGAAATGATCAGTCGGTTGAAAGAAAGTCATCCGAGAAAATTAAATCGAAAAAACGAACATTATATACGTAAACTAATTTGTTAACTAAATGCTAAATTACACATAATGTTGCCGCTTTTTAGTGTGATATCAAATTACATTAGTTGGCCAGTGTTTTGGTGGTCAGAATAGTGCTATGAGCATTGACATTCCCTGTATGGCTTTCGATAAAAGATTTAACCATCAAAGCAAATTCCATAGTTCCTCAATTCTCTTGAAATAAAATGGATCTTTGTGGGAAATCAAGTACTTGATCGAATATTGAAATCTGAATCCCCATTGAAATCTGAATCCCCAAACTTGTAGAGAACGAAAGGACTCAAAATTCCATGGCTCCCCTATTTGCAATCAAATAGTTTGCAGGAATTCAAGTATTTGATCGCATTTTTAAACCTGAACACCCCGACATGTAAAGAACGACAAGACTCATTCGGACATTCAAGCATCCTGTGAAGGTTGTTCATACCTCTTCTTTTCTGACTCCGAGAGCTGTTGAGGTCCCAGGTCTAACAAACAAACCGTGACTCGATAAATTGGGAGATTCGTTCTGCTCATTCAACAAAACCTTGAAAATACATGTACAAGAATATAGGTATATTTGAACTTTTCCGATCAAATTGAAGAAATAATTGTTACACTGACTCTCAGAAACGGACGTTTCCCCTTACACGTTTCTCCTTACACAGTTTATGAATATGTGGTAGATGTGGTTGTTATGCTTGCTTATTCTTCTGAAACACCTCACAGATACGACGATGCTGTCTGAAAGTCGTTGACTTGACATATTTCAGTGGTAAATTCCACACATTATACTATTACATTGATTTGTCATTATGTGTAAATGTTTAAAACAGAACCAAAAACGAGACGTACACATTTTTAGAGTTTTTCAAAGAGTTTAACCGAACTTTTCATGCAAAATTCCGAACACAATGGGGATGGGGTGGGGGCAGTGGACGAACTCGAGCTGACCATCGATCGCCGCCTCCAAACATGCCATACTCCAAATAGATCAGTGATTTGATTTTCGATAATTAGGTCCGTCCAAATTTAATTGAAATAATTTGTGAACTAATTAAACACGACGCTTCCCGTGTGTGCTTTCTTACCTTAATGCCAGACTGGGATGTTGTGGAGAAGAAAGAAAAATTTTGCTGAATATCTAGGATGACACGAAGTCCACTTCTAGATCCAGTGGTAGTCGTCGTTAATACATCGGAGGTGTTCCCATTAAAGCGGTAACACACTCCAACATCCGTTACCTCTCTTTTAAAAACCTCACTGCAGTTGACCTGACGTCCTTTCCACGAGCAGAAGTAAAACATCTCCTTTAGGGTGTGGGCTGCAGCCATTGCAAAAGAATAAAGGTAGTCACCGGTGTGATGGGTAATGAAAACTGGATCTTCGTTTGAGTCATCTTTTGTGAAATTCAGATATTTCCCTATATGGGCAAATTCACTGAGGTTATAAAGCAACTTCAGCATTGGGGCATCGTCTGGCAGCCGGCTTCGATGATACTGGTTCGTGTTACAAATGGTCACGGCCGGAAAAATCAACTCGTCGTTAAATTCAGCCTTTACAATCGTCATGGACGGATGTTCTTGATAACGTCGAAACTGGAGATATACTATACAACTCAGACTAATAGACATTGCCAGCAATAAAGTAATCCAAACGATCCTAAAAAAAAAACATTTTCAAACCTTTGTATCAATATAGCTTGAAACAAATGACATGGCCTGTATTAAGCCTAGCTTATGTCGCCCTGCGACGCGATAAAACTGATGGCGTCTAACGACCGATGAGAGCTTATGTCGCCCTACGACGCGACGAAACTGACGGCGACTCGAAATCAGCGACTGGTCAGTCGTGAATACATGGGCGACCTGAGCGGTCTTACGACTGGTGCAAGTCGGAATGCAACTAGTTGCCGTCTGGACAGCCGACTCCAGTTTCTCGGAGTCGCCCAAGTTCTACTCCTACGACTGGAGACAACTAGTTGTCCCTAGTTGCAAGCGGCATGTGCGTACCTACGACTATCTTGAGTCGGCGCGTCGCTGGGGTAACCAATAAGATTCGGTATTTAAACACGTGGTACCCAGGGTTGATAACAAACATGGCGGACAAGTGGAATGAGGCCATTTTGAAGGTTTTCACGTGGCAGTCACGTGATCAGTTGTAGCACCAATTCTGCAACAGAAGACGGGCGACATGAGCGCGCTTACAACTGTGAACGACTTGTTGCTCGTGGTTGCTTCCAGTCGTGAATAAATTCAGCCATAGCGACATAAGTCGCCGTCAGTTTTATCGCGTCGTAGGGCGACATAAGCTAGGCTTAACAGAGTCAAGGATTAGTCAAGTCGATATATAGAAAATACCCCCTCAACCCCCATAGCCAAAAAATTGCTACAAAAGGTTTCTCAACTGATTCTGGTAGGGATAGTCTACTTTATAAAATATGAAAATTTTACCACTCAAAACTGAACACTCTGAAACTTACTCTATGGACAAAGATGTTTGTGCATTGGTGATAGTGGACAGCTGACTGAAGGACATGGATTCAATTTCATAATGATTCAACAGTTCAGTAAAAGTTGCCCCCCCCCCCAAAAAAAAAAAAACCAACCTGGGATTAGACATTAAGAACATCAAATCTGAGTCAATAGTTGTGGCCATTTTTAAAGCCATGCTGGATTTTTATGTGACATAATAAGCCAACATCAATTTTGTTTTAACTTAAATTTGTTTTTTGCCCCAAAAAACCTAGGGATAGACACCAAGATCATCAAATTTGAGTTGATAGTTACATACTTATGATCATTAAGATGTTTCGGTGGCCATCTTGGACGCCAACTTGAAAACAAAAACACTTTTCCGAAGGTTCTATTTTGGTGAACTTTTGGTATGTTAAAGAGTACTCTAAAACCTACCAGAATCAGTTGAGAAACCTTTTGTATAAATTTGTTGAGGGTTAAACTGTATTTTGACCTGACTAGATAGGTTGTTGGGCCCTCGAATGGTGCCTATGCTGGGGCGATTTATTGACGAATACATTTTCTTTGTATCATTTCAAATATTTAAAAAACATTACAGTACCGATAGATAAAATTATAATATTAATCATGATTGCGCTTGCAAACATTCATTCTGGTGTTATTTAAGAAAATTTCCTAGGAAAATATATTCCAATATTTTAAATATCTTACCTTCTAAATTTATAAATCTGTGGAGCACCAACGTTTGAAACTCCATGGATTGTAGCCGACTGACTATACATATCCACCATATCCTTTGTACCTACAGATCTTGATACTTCCTCTTTTTCATCTTGATCTTTAGGTTTCTCCATTTCTACGGCAAACTTCATGAGTGATCACTCTTACTTCTATAGTTGCTAGCGAAAGAAATGAAATGAAATAAGGTTTGACGTCCTACTCTTCTGCTCGGAACTGGGCTAATGAAAACGGGCATAAGCCATAAAGTGTGCTATGGGGGAAATTTTGTCCGGACAGCGGCACTACGGCCTACTCTTATATCGAATTCCAACTGTCAAGGGATCTTTAACGTTCACGTCAATGTGTGCACGGGACCTCGGTTTTTCGACTAGACAGCTGTCTTTGTCAGGCCCTCCGTCCCGCATCACTGACAAGGGGAAACCACGACGGAAAATCTGATGCAGGGATCGAACACCCAACCTCCAGGCTTGTGAGCCAGCGTCTTACCCACTTAGCCACCGTGATCCCCTGCCCTGCTAGCGAGGGAGAAGCGCTATACAATTGAAAGTATGGAATCATAAAATTGAAAGTTTGGAAACAAAGCTAATAATATCTTTCATCATCCATCAATGTAATGAAATCTTTCGTGAGAATGAAATTATATATGAACAAAACACCTGACACTTAATGAGTAGTCAAAACTAATTGTGTAGCTAGAAATAGAAACTTTACAAAATTGTAAGTTTGGAATCTAAGTTATTAAAATATCGCGAATAATCTATTCGGGATCCTTCATGACAACACAAATCGACTGTAATCCACGCGGACAAATGAAATCAAAACAAAACACCTGACGCTATCTTTATTTCGTTTTTATCTATCCATTGCCGACGAATTGAATCAATTATTAATATTACAACATTTATACTCACCATACTCAGTAGGTTTATTGCTCAGTGGTTCAATGATATTTTTACGATCTGTACAGCGTGCACCATTACAAATAAATCACAAGGGTGTTCACTTTTATCTTAGATATTCCGTATTACCAGCGATTTCCATGATCATTTTTCTGAGCACTTTGTTATTCTGTTGATAAGTTTCTGAAAAGGGGCAGTAACCAACACAATGTTTATTTGCCATATTTGATATAGGCTACCCTTTGCCTTTTTATTGTTTGAATTCCCCATAGGCCAATGATAAATCAAGCCCTTTGTTTCAGCAATATTTTCGTGTTATTATAAGTAGTGGTGTAGCTCCAATTTTATTTTAATCTTTTATCTTTAAAATTTGTATACGTCCAAAATAATCATTTATCCAGTACTGCTAAGCTAACAGATTTCTAGCAAATGTTATAATTCTTTTTGCATTTCGAAGATTCACTAGATCGAGCACACAGATGTCCCCAGTTTTATCCAATTGCTAACGTCCTTTCGGATCTACCTGGTAAAAAAGAATTTCAACAAAAATCTTCTCACCTCACCATCGAACATTATATACGTTAATATTTAATAATCGAATCGTGGGTTACCATAAGTATTACAGATAATAATTAACGACCCCGTTATGTTTGATGAATATGATAAACGTGCCAATCACCACTAAATTAATCATATTTGTCAAGTAATATTGTATTGATATCAATCTGTTCCCTGACACTCAATAATATCAAATTGATTTCTAGAATATTTTATGCTATTTACATTATATTTGTAAATTACTGTCAATCTGGTTTAGAGATTAATCTGCACATGCCATTCAATAAAACTCACGCATGTGAAATGTAAGATAACATTGGTTCAGTAGTTTGATTGTTTTGTCTGGAAGCTTGCTGTTTTGTTTAAATATATATTTTATAGTCATGCCAATGAACGAAATTTATGTCCTGTTTGTTCTATTACATTGATGTAGATTGACAATCCCGGAGACGAGTCCATTGTATGAATTTCTCGGTAAAGGAGAAGATAGAAAATTGGGTTTAACGTGAAATGAAATGAAATGGGGTTTAACGTCCTATTGTTTGCACCGAACAATGTTCACTCAACACAATCCAGGTTATTTCGAGACCAATATAACTTTATTTCAATCTGAGAATCCATAGGAAACCAACGACTTTAGGCAGGTGACTCGTGACGTACACCTGGGATTGAAAACAGGATTCTTGACTAGTTATTTGTTCATGATGTATTTTGATTATTTGTCGAATATCATAGGGTGAGAAGGTGTCCATTATAATTTTTTTCAGTTGTATCGTCCTACTTTGAAACTATTGGTTTAACGCATGTGCCTCAATACGGTCTGCCACTGAGTCAAGTGGCGTGGTTTTGATTCCCCACTTGAACGTGACAAGGGGTAGGGTCGCCTGTCCAACCTCGAGGGTTTTCACCAAGTACTCCGGTTTCCTCCAACTTTTACGCGCACGCAAATTATTGAATTATTGAAAAAACATTGAACCATATTATGTTAGTCCCGAAATGACCTAGCTTGTGTCGAGTGGGCGTTAATCCCTATTTCTCTCAGATTCTAATCGTGGTTAGGGTGCATTAGGGTAACTTATATCATAAATACCCGATCTTCGAGGTAATGGCTTACGGTTAGTATTCATAAATACAATATTCATGATGTAATATTTATTCTAGAACACAGTGGTTATGAGGTAAACTTTATTCGTAAATAATCTTTCAAATACTATGTACTATATTTGGGTGATGGTGTTTTATCTGGAGATCTTCAAGATATAACACAGCAGCGGAAATTAGATTTAAAATTTCACCGGAAAGACGATAAACAAGAAGATTTATGATGTTTTTTCTATCAAACACGGCCTAGAACAAGCTTGACAAATCTGTCGCGCATGTTCTGCAAATTCGACATAAAAAACCATTGAGATTGACCAAGAAATGTAGTTTAACGTCCATGGGGGGGGGGGGGGTTCTTACGGAGGGGGGGGGGGGGTGAATGAGACCGACTGCTGCACAGGTTCGGGGTTATGCCTCCACGGATAACTATTTCAGTCTAGAGTCCCTGAAATGGCATTTCCTGAACTTTGGGGGAAGATTTTGCTTCTGATGGTCATTAAACACTATGAATAAAATTGAATACTACGGTTAGGCATTTATGTTATTTATTAAGAATCACGCAAGAACTTACAAAGTGCTGTGAATCTGTGACAACTTAGGTAAGTGATAATAATTACATCATTTACATGAACCTATATCTTTAGTATAAATATTCATAAATTAGCAAAGATATGACCATGTCCTGTTATTTTTCCCCTCTATTTTAACATTGTTTGTTAACCTCATTAATTCCTTTAGTCGTCAATGCATAATTTTGAGACCAACTGCACTTATTTTGAGACCGACTATTTTTTTTTTTTTTTTTTTTTTTTTTTGTTCCTGACCACCCCTTTCCTCATCCCCACATTTATGGATATAATCCTATTTCAATCATTTGCATGCGTACAGGGGACTTTAGAAGTGGGAGGTACCCCACATGGTTAAGCCAATCATTAATATTCCTATTAACTAATTAGTCATCGAATATATATTGGAGATGCTACTTGTAGGTCGGTTGGGGAGGTCGCTTTATATAAATGAGTATTTTGGAGAATACTAACCCTAATTCTAGCTTTTTTTTTTTTAGAAAACTGAACTTCGATCTAATGTACCTTTAACCCCTCTTAAAAGGATTAGGGTCAGGGTAAGGGTTATTATTCCCCAAAATACTCATTTATATGAAGCGGCCATTGTGGACTCCGGAAATTCCCGAACCTCCCCAACCGGCCTAAAATTAGCATCTCACCTCAGACCTGATCATTTGGAGTATTCATGAAGAAATAAAAAAGCAAAAATAAAACGCAGTACCTTACCCGATCATCCAATTATTGTAAAGACATATAAACAACAATTATTCCACTACAATCATTATAAATTACTGATGGGTTGTTTTTCTTCAGTACTCGGTCAGTTACGAGTTATGAATTATTCCTGGCAATATCAAGGTTATACACTGCATGCACCTATCATATGTTTTATGACTTCAGCGAAAGAGTAAATGATTAATGACGATAACATTGGTCAGATTAATAGTAGGTGTCTCTGTAGTCTATATATCTACCGTGTACGTCATAATGGATATTTGCCAATCAGCAATTGTTTATAGTTATAGAATCTTAAAGGGGAACTAAACGATCGCCAAATTCTTTAAAATATCTTCTATTTTCATAATCATTATTATCAATAATGTCGAAGAAATTTGTTTTAAAACTGCAACGCCGTACTCATTTTATTTACCCCTTAAACTAGTATTTCAAGATTTATGAGAATCTATGCACATATCTGAAGACATATCCATACACTATCAATTTGGTGGTTATCGACATATAGTCCCACATATTCCTGTGTGATTCAATGTCACTGTATTTTGAAGTATCCATATGTCATTATTGGAAAATATCTATTTATTATGCGACATTTTTTTTAAACACATTTCCACTTCGATTGTTTTAACCAGCTCATCAGTGAATACGATACCATAATTATTGGCCATTTCTTATCACAACAGAATCAAGACATAGCTACGTTGTCCACATGCTTCGAGAAATCAGCCCATATGTCCTCCGAGCTCAACTGAAATATAAATAGCAATAAATAATGCCCGAACAATTTTTGAGTCGCGGTCACGATTAACGGGAATCACTGAGCCAAACGGTCCCATTTTTTATTCCAAATAATTTATGTTAATTCCAACACCGAAATACTGTTATTCCTATACTCCTCGGGGGCCACATTGGCTCAGTGATTTAGACCTTAGTTCGCTAACCTGGAGATCCCAGTTTTAGCAGAGAATTAAAAGTTCATCTGGATTTTTCGGCGTGGTTCCCCGTTGTCAGTGGTGCAGAAAGGGGTCTGACAAGGGAGGAGCCAAACACCGAGCAGAAAACTCGAAAAAAATCAATTAGAGCCCGCGAGAATAGTCACTGGACTTCCAAAATTTTGTAGCCGAGCAGCGCTTTATTATGAATCTGGTTGGAACAGGCTTTCTGAACGCCGGAGTATAAGACATCTTACCACCCTACATAAAATTTTAAACAATAACGCACCCCAATACTTACTAGATATTATTCATGCCTTTGAAAGCAATACACTTAGATATAACTTAAGAAATAGTGACCATATTTCCCCACCCTTCTGTAGAACATCATTATATTAAAATTCGTTCTTTCCGTCAACAATTCGAGACTGGAAGTTTTTGGATTCTTCAACAAAGAAAATAGAAAATATCAAAGCTTTAAAAAAAAATTTCTGAGAGATTCGAGATAATAAAGGCTCCAAATTATTATGCGGGCGGTAATAGAAAATTGAGTATTTTACACACAAAACTTCGTCATGGGTGCAGTTCCCTCAACTCAGATCTATTTCGGATAAATTTAATTGAAAATCCTAAATGTTCTTGTGGCGCGTCATCCGAAAACGCAAAGCACATCTTATGGAATGTAACTTGTTTGATATCGAAAGAAATGAACTTTTCGATTCTTTACGGAAAATCAGCACCATAACCTTAAATATACTTCTTTGGGGTGATTCTAGTTTAAATAGTTTTCGTAACTTTTGTCCCAATCCGTTTGTACTTTATTTATGTTCTAGTACAATAAACTATGTTTAAACTAAACACATTGACGTGCACGTAAAAGAATCTCTGGCAGTTGGAATTCGAAATAAGAGTAGGCCGTAGCGGTCCATAGATTTACCCCAAACATCCTAAAATATCACATTTTCCAGTCGGTGCAGAACTGTACCCCCATTTCAATTATTTCCTGTACAACTCCCTGACACAACTTTAAATAAAATAAAACCATGTACGGACAATCCAAACCATTAGACAAATTCGAAGTTCTAAAAAATATAATAAGACTGTGACTTTCGATGGAATATATATACAATTTGATCGTAGTGCAGCTTAATAGAATTGATCTTACCGAATATCACCTGTGCCGTCAGCTCTGCTATCTGTTCTGTTTTGGTAACTGTCAAGGCGTCGTAACAAAATCCTAATATTAATTATATTGTTCCTGGTAAAAAAAAATGTTATTAGACCGATAGAAGAAACATATGGTGATCGTATTTCTGTCGTTTACACACCATTTAGCACCAACAACCGTAAAATAAACATTTCCAATTTAGATAGGCCCCATCCTCTTTTAATTCCACCAGGGTTAAACAGGGCGATTTGCAACAAAATACCCAGTAACGAATCCAGAAGCTGGGAATGGGGGGGGGGGGGTCCAAATCTAGGGCGCAATTCACAATCCCACCCCACAATAAATGTCAAAAAGATAGACAATAACACTGTCTGAGCACCCCTATAGAACATAGATCGTATTGCCTATAGCTGTTCGACGATCGTTATCCCGCCAAAAAGCAGTTTAATTCAAGTTGACATATAGTTCATGTCATATTAAGACTGTTATTGATCTTTATCAACCTTAGAGAAGTGACAATAACACTGAGCAAAATGAATCGGGGTTGAGGGGAGAAGTTTCACTGTGGGAGGGTTTTCATTTTGAGAAAATTGGAAAATTTTGAGGTCATTGCTGGGAGCAAATTCTTGTGAACGAGAGGATCAGAAATGGGAGTCAATTTGGGACAGAATCTTGAGACCTGCCTGTCAATTCCGCCTGTTCTGTGAGAGTTAACAGAAAATGTGTACAGACTGTCGCCCCACGCACTGGTACTACTTATTATCTTGGAGGTTTACTATAACCGTGGATAAATATGATAGTGATGAGATAGTATAAGACCACAGAGGAGTGGGGGGGGGGGAGAATGATGCTATAATGAAATCGAGTGCAATCAATTGAACTGAATTCGTTTATGTCATATGTCAATATGATAGTGATGAGATAGTATAAGACCACAGAGGATTTGGTGGGGGTGGGGGAGAGAGTGATCCTATAATGGAATCGAGCGCAATCAATTGAACTGAATTCTTTTATGTCAGTTACATGTAATTACACTTTATTTTTTTGGTTTGTCGGTTTATAATTTATCCAGTGTAAGCTATTCCCCTTGTTGGTATTTCATCCCGTTGTCATAAATTTAAATTTTCAGTAATTTTGTTATTTGTTTTATTTTTATGAAATCTGTTAAACTTTGGATATGATGTGTATAATATACATACCTGGTCTATGACATATCTCTCTTTTGTCGGTCAGGGGGTTGGATGGCCGAATGGATAACAAGTGTGCGCTGTATCATACGGTCTGTCATTGAGTCAAGTGGCGTAGTTTCGATTCCCCAGTTTTACGTAACAAGGAGTAACTAGGTCGCCTGTCCCACTTCGTGGGTTTTCTCCCGGTCCCACGGTTTCCTCCCACTGCTAAAGTCCCATACGCGCAAGCGAATTATTGAAATAAAATTGAACTATATGTTAGTCCCGAAATTATATACCTACTTTGTGTCAAGTGGACGTTAAGCCTCCCTCTCTCTCTCTCTCTCTCTCTCTCTCTCTCTCTCTCTCTTTGTGGGGGGGGGGTGGTTAGCACGTGCGTGCTGTATCATAAGGCCTGTCATTGAGTCAACTGGCGTGGTTTCGAATCCCCGGTTGTATGTGACAAGGAGTAGGTTCGCCTGTCCAACCTCGTGGTTTTCTCCGGGTCCTCCGGATTCCTCCCACTGCTAAAGACCGCTACGCGCAATTGAACTATTGAAATAAAATTGAACCATCTGTTAGTCCCGAAATGACCTAGTTTGTGTCGAGTGACGTTAAACGCCACCTCTCTCTCTCTCTCTCTCTCTCTCTCTCTCTTTGTCTGTCATGAAGCACCACTCTAGATATCTTAGTTTTTGTAATGTTTTCAACAGTAACGTCCTAACGAATGTGAAGATATAAATGATGATGTAGTACAACATAGATATAGTGTGAACATCATGAACCATGACAAGAGTAGACCTATCTCCATAATGAAATTGAAAATAGTAGTGGTCTGCTTCCTATCAAGGCTCTTCACTGCCAGAGGTACAAATGGCCTACAAAATGTCCGCGTCAAGGGGGCAAAATAAAATGTTTACAATTGAATTATTATTATTCTTGTAAATAGGAGCGGTGTTCTGGTGTGACATTAAATAAATTTGAATTAGCATAACTCTGCGGTGAATCGTAAATGTAAATACTTTATTTACTTCACGTATTTGTATAACTTTAAGTTATTAGAATTTTATTGTTTCTTCATTATATTTCATTATTTTTGTTGACATAAAAAGAGTGAGTTCACTGATTGTCCTATTTTTAGCCGTAACAGTATCTAAAAAAAGACATGACTATGAGCCCCATGATCTCTCCCCACCAATCAAAATGCAAGGTGAAAATAATAATTACTGTTGTTATTTTAGCGACACATTCACAATCAGTTGGGTTGAAGATATTTTCCTTTTTTACTTGACACTTACAGTTACACAGACCAGAGACATTGTCCTTGTTATATGTAGCCTATATTATAGTATAATTCAGTCACTGCCACACATATCAATTTGAGCTTTTAATTCACATGTATTAAATGACATGTCTATGATATTAGTGATTTTAGACATTTATTTCTCATACGATGATACACTTAGATTTTAGTTTGGTTTTATCATGGACCTTAAAAACCTTAAAATAAGGTTAATGGGCTTATACGACAAATAACAGTGTATGCATAGGCCTGCATACAATAAATTAGACATGGCTGATCTATGAAAAATACTGTCTTTCCATGTATAGGGATTTTGCAATAGGCTACTCTGTAGGCCCATGTAAGCATTTTGGAGTATGCTTGTTACAATAATGCAGTATGATTTTGTGGAGTTTAATACCCAAGCACATGATTAGGTTTTAGGTATCTTGTGTACCATGGAGTGGAAAAAAACATTAAGCAAACCTATTTCACACACACACACATTTTGAGTTATAGTATGACTAGTTGATATAGATGGAACTGTCTCGACTGTCAGAAGATAGAAGTTTACAATATGGTGTAAAAGCAAACAAAAATATATAAAACAAACAATATTGTACTCTGATACTTTAGTGATAGTATTTTAATTGCATGTAATGTTTATGTTATTTCTTTCCATAGAGACACACAAATATGGAATTATTACATCTACCTAAGGAATTACAGTTTCATATCATCAGTAGACTGGATGGATTTTCTTTGTTGAATGTTCAGAAAGTTTGTAAACTCTGGCTTGAAATTGTGGAGAGTCTGGAAACAACTGTTCAGATATGGAAACAATGTTGTTTAAATGATATCCCTAGAAATATCTTGGTTCAGCTTACAGGTACGGTATGTTAATATTACCTCATGTCCAATGTGCAGGTATTTATTTCTGAACATATGAGGAGTGACAGTGTCATGACTATATGTGTAGAAATGTGACAGACACTGTTGTGTAACTGATGATTAATTTTAAATATGACATTTCCAAGCAATAAAGTAATCAGGGACTCAAATTGATTATTTAAATAAGATAACAAATTCAAAATATGAATGATAGATAATCCCTCGGGTTGCATGGATTTAATCGTATTTAAAGATAATTCAAATGTTGATCAGTGGCTTTAAGATATACATTATCTTGGGGTTTTTTTATTGTCAGGTATTACAGAATTAATGAATAACAGAGAAATAAAAGAAAGTACCAATTTACACTGGACATTCTGGAAAGAGATATATTTGGATTATGAAAGGATGTCATTGATAAGAGATTATCAACCCAAGACAACCCAGGTTATGTTTACAACACAGTTAAGTGCTTGTACATCATTACGATTAAAAGGTTAGTACTGGGCAATAGATGTGAAATAGATCTAACAAAATACAAAAATCCATAATGGTAGGCATGATATAAGTTATTATCTCCGTTTCACTTGTTTCATCTATTGGAATGAAATTTATCCTAACATAAATGAAACGAAATGAGGTTTAACATCCTACTTTTCCTTTTGCACCAATCGGGAAAATGTTACCTGGACAGTGGTGGTGTTTCCGTCTACTATTTTTCGAATTCCATCTGTTAAGGGTTCTTTTATGTGCAAGCCAAAGTGTACACAAGAACGCTGTTTTTCATGAAAACCAGGCTTTAAAATGCGAACCTATATTGTCCAACTGCAGGTTCAGACCGAACATGTTTTCCAATGAAAACCAGGCTTTAAAATCCTGAGGACCTATATTGTCCAACTCCAGGTTCGGACCGAACACGTTATCCAATGAGTCACTGTGGCTCCAGTCCTGAGAGTTAAATGATATCAGTCTAGCATACGTAGGACTTCAGGTCTTCGGGTTCTACTTTAATTATTTTGAATCCATTAATGTATTTCATGATTAGTCATGATTTGAAGAATTCAAAGGTAACGAGCCACTTCTGTCTTGAGATTTGCAATACCATTGGATAGTGGAATACCTAAATGTCAATATGTGCACTTGAATTTGTATGATAGAGGGGAAATAACTTTGCTTGATTCAACATAGATGTATAAGACTATAAGACTGATTGATCAAAACTAGTAACTGGTTATAGGGCTGTGAATAGCTATCTGTAATTAATTAGATATATTTTAAATTTCATAGTCTCACACCACAATTTAGTCTAGATTACTCAAAAAAAGAAAAATATATACAAGAATAGTTTATCCTGATTAAAGATTCAGGCGTATTATTAAGATCCTTGATAACGAAAGATTTCATTTTACACTTTATTTAGATAATATTCTTGTATCTGGCCATACAGATGGTAGTGTTGTATTGTGGGATACTGATGATCAGGGTCAAGGTTATTTTAAATTTTTAACCAAACATAGAAGTCATGTGACAGCAGTAGATGTTCTCAATACAGGTAAATATGCCACGTCCAAATGACTCAATATTTTGAGCTGAAATTTTCAGACAAGGTAAATACATCATTCCCCTATATATTGGTGTTTAAAATACATAGGTTGAGTGACTTTTATTTCTGAGACTCTATGAAACAGTTTCACACAAGATCCATAAGGAACGATATAGTTGATATTTTGTTGGGTTTTTTTCTTTATTAAATGTTACATTGATTACATTTTAACATGGATTAGGCAAAATGAGATGTTGTTCTGAGATATGTGTAATAATTTTTAAACTTTTTATCTGGTTTTTTTATAGTAGAGAATATGCGAGATATAGATGATTGGGTATTAGGATATAAAGTTATATCAGTATCAAGAGATGTAGGAATTCATGTTAATAATCCATTAACTAATGCAGTTCAACGATTTGTTCATTATAGTGGATCGGTTAATGCTGTCAGGTTTGTAAAAATATTTTATTTGTATAGATTTTATAAGGAGAGACAGCATGTGGACAGATGATTAGAATGTCCCTGGTTTTAATATATGTCATACAGTGTGCTGTGAAGGAAATTTTCCCGGGACAGCTGCATTATAGGGCCTACTCTTATTTCAAATTCCAAGGCAAGGTATCTTTTACGCGCACGTCAATATGTACACGGAACTTCATTTTTCCATCCCATCCAGACAACTATACAACGAGCCTTGCCGGGCCCTCCATCCTGCACCACTGAGAAGGGGGAACCATGCCGGAAAATCCTGTAGGTCAACATAAGGATCAAACAAATTACCTCCAGTTTAACGAGCGAATGTCCTACTTACTGAGCCACTGTGGCTACCCTGCTTGATCATTCCAGCTTTTAAACAAGGTCATACAGATCTCATAGACCCATCGTTAATTGAAACAGATTTAGTGCCTTTATTGTCCCCCGCCTTTCGAAGAAAGCAGGGGACTATTAAAATGGGTTCGTCCGTCTGTCTGTCTGTCTGTCCGTCTGTCTGTCCGTCACACTTTTTGGGACACAATAACTCTCTTCCTAATTGAGCTAGAATGTTCAAACTTGGTGTATGTGTTTATTAGGTCAATGCCTTGATGGAGTTCGAAGATGAGCATTTTCCGCTTAGGGTAAGCAGAGATAAGCAATTTGATTGGTCGATGCTTTGGGACACGATAACTCTCTTCCTAATTGGGCTAGAATGTTCAAACTTGGTGTATGTGTTGATTAGGTCAATGCCTTGTTCTAATTGGGCTAGAATGTTCAAACTTGGTGTAGGTGTTTATTAGGTCAATGCCTTGATGGAGTTCGAAGATGAGCATTTTCTGCTTAGGGTAAGCAGTGATAAGCAATTTGATTGGTTGATGCTTTGGGACACGATAACTTGAGTTCTAATTAAGTGAGAGTGATGAAACTTGGTGTATAGTTTTATTACATCAATACCTTGACTAAGTTCGATAATAAGCATTTTCTGCTTATGGGTAAGCAGAGCGATAAGCAATTTGATTGGGTGAGACTTTGGAACACATTAACTCTCCTTCTAATTGAGCTAGAATGTTCAAACTTGGTGTAGGTGTTTATTAGGTGAATGCCTTGATAGAGTTCGAAGATGAGCATTTTCTGCTAAGGGTAAGCAGAGATAAGCAATTTGATTGGTCGATGCTTTGGGACACGATAACTTTAGTTCTAATTAAGTGAGAGTGGGGACACTTAGTGTATAGGTTTATCTCATCAATACCTTGAGTAAGTTCCATAAATAAGCATTTTCTGCTTATGGGTAAGCAGAGCGATAAGCAATTTGATTGGTCGAGACTTTGGAACACAACTCTCCTTCTAATTGAGGAAGAATGTTCATACTTGGTGTAGGCATTCATTAGGTGAATGTCTTGATGGAGTTCGATGATAAAGCTTGTCTGCTTACGGTCAGCAGAGATAAGCAATCTGATTGGTTGATAACTTTGGTTTTAATTAAGTGAGAGTGATGAAACTCTGAGTATAGATTCGTTATATCATTACCTTGACTAAGTTTGTTAATGAGAATTTTCTGCTTAGGCTAAGGATCGATAACTTTGATTCTATATGATAGAGAGTGATCAAACTTAGTGTATAGGTGATAATTTGTTTGATTGCTTGATACTTTTGAAAAAAAATAAATGTGCGATTAATGAATATGTGTCATCTATTTATTTTGGGATTTCGGCGGGGGACATCAGCCTCACTGTTGGCTTGTTTTTTTTATGAATAAGGTTTCTGAATGCTAACAATACAGTAATGTTAATGTATTTTGTTAACAGTTGTTATGGCGGAAGGTTTGTGGTGGCTGCTGATTCATCAATATTAAATGGTCAACCAATCTGGCAGGTTTCAGAATCGAATTCTGTTGACACTAGAGTTACCTCCACCTTATATGGTCATGAAGAATCATGTATTAGTGCTGTTGCTATGTGGAATGGTGAGGTAAACAGATTTTGCTAAATGAGGGACTGAAAACATTAAATCAATCTTAATTTGATTGAAGTGATGAATTTAACTTACTTTCATTACTTCAAAAATTTGACTAAGTTCAATACTAAGTATATTCTACGACTCAGGTTATCAAAGTGATATCAACGTGATTGGTCTGTGCTTTATAAAAAGGTAGCCTTGTGCAACTAGAAATAGATCACGATTTCTTGTATGTATATATTTTGTCCTTTATGAATCTCAAATTTTCAAAACATTAAAGTTAGATTTTCGGATATTTTTTTCATTGTAGGTACTATCAGGAGATGTTATTGGAAATCTGTTTAAATGGAAAATTCCGTTAGATGGTTCTGATTGTTCCAAACCCATTCATATAGCTAAATTTTCTGTTAGCTATACAAAAGCTATTTATTATGACGGTCATGTTATATTTTGTTTGTTAGGTAAAGTACTTAAGATATTTACATTTGCTGAGATTGTACTAAATGGATCTAAATTTTAGATATTTACTGGGAAAAATGACCGTCCCCCCCCCCACCCCAATACCCATGAGTGCTATCAGGGGGATTTTGTTTGGTCAGCGGCAGTACGTCAAAATCTAAATTTGATTTCCAACTGTAGGGATCTCTAACGTTCTGCCAATTGTATACTTGTGCCATCTTATCAACTGGAACTTTATTTTGACAGACCCTCAATTCTGCACCACTGGCAATGTGAAACCAGACAGGAAAATCTGGAGGAACTTTCTTGGCAAACAGCAGGAGCGAATAAACAATACATCATAAATATTCCATATTCTCAGTAGATTGACATGAAAATAAACTTTTATATATTTGATAGGTGATGGAAGTATATGTTGGCGAGTTGGATCTAGTAAATTTCAAACTTTACCCAATACACAGGAATTAGAAGTTTTCTCAGCTACACCTGTTTGTATGGCTTGTAGAGCAAGACTACTAGCAATAGGACTTAATTCAGGTATTAATGACTAGGTTTTTTTTTTCTAAATGAATTGGGTTATAAATCTTACTTTTCCACATCAAGTGGGCTAATGGAGACTGATATATGCCTTGCAGTAGATGTTCTCAATACAGGTAAATATGCCACGTCCAAATGACTCAATATTTTGAGCTGAAATTTTCAGACAAGGTAAATACATCATTCCCCTATATATTGGTGTTTAAAATACATAGGTTGAGTGACTTTTATTTCTGAGACTCTATGAAACAGTTTCACACAAGATCCATAAGGAACGATATAGTTGATATTTTGTTGGGTTTTTTTCTTTATTAAATGTTACATTGATTACATTTTAACATGGATTAGGCAAAATGAGATGTTGTTCTGAGATATGTGTAATAATTTTTAAACTTTTTATCTGGTTTTTTTATAGTAGAGAATATGCGAGATATAGATGATTGGGTATTAGGATATAAAGTTATATCAGTATCAAGAGATGTAGGAATTCATGTTAATAATCCATTAACTAATGCAGTTCAACGATTTGTTCATTATAGTGGATCGGTTAATGCTGTCAGGTTTGTAAAAATATTTTATTTGTATAGATTTTATAAGGAGAGACAGCATGTGGACAGATGATTAGAATGTCCCTGGTTTTAATATATGTCATACAGTGTGCTGTGAAGGAAATTTTCCCGGGACAGCTGCATTATAGGGCCTACTCTTATTTCAAATTCCAAGGCAAGGTATCTTTTACGCGCACGTCAATATGTACACGGAACTTCATTTTTCCATCCCATCCAGACAACTATACAACGAGCCTTGCCGGGCCCTCCATCCTGCACCACTGAGAAGGGGGAACCATGCCGGAAAATCCTGTAGGTCAACATAAGGATCAAACAAATTACCTCCAGTTTAACGAGCGAATGTCCTACTTACTGAGCCACTGTGGCTACCCTGCTTGATCATTCCAGCTTTTAAACAAGGTCATACAGATCTCATAGACCCATCGTTAATTGAAACAGATTTAGTGCCTTTATTGTCCCCCGCCTTTCGAAGAAAGCAGGGGACTATTAAAATGGGTTCGTCCGTCTGTCTGTCTGTCTGTCCGTCTGTCTGTCCGTCACACTTTTTGGGACACAATAACTCTCTTCCTAATTGAGCTAGAATGTTCAAACTTGGTGTATGTGTTTATTAGGTCAATGCCTTGATGGAGTTCGAAGATGAGCATTTTCCGCTTAGGGTAAGCAGAGATAAGCAATTTGATTGGTCGATGCTTTGGGACACGATAACTCTCTTCCTAATTGGGCTAGAATGTTCAAACTTGGTGTATGTGTTGATTAGGTCAATGCCTTGTTCTAATTGGGCTAGAATGTTCAAACTTGGTGTAGGTGTTTATTAGGTCAATGCCTTGATGGAGTTCGAAGATGAGCATTTTCTGCTTAGGGTAAGCAGTGATAAGCAATTTGATTGGTTGATGCTTTGGGACACGATAACTTGAGTTCTAATTAAGTGAGAGTGATGAAACTTGGTGTATAGTTTTATTACATCAATACCTTGACTAAGTTCGATAATAAGCATTTTCTGCTTATGGGTAAGCAGAGCGATAAGCAATTTGATTGGGTGAGACTTTGGAACACATTAACTCTCCTTCTAATTGAGCTAGAATGTTCAAACTTGGTGTAGGTGTTTATTAGGTGAATGCCTTGATAGAGTTCGAAGATGAGCATTTTCTGCTAAGGGTAAGCAGAGATAAGCAATTTGATTGGTCGATGCTTTGGGACACGATAACTTTAGTTCTAATTAAGTGAGAGTGGGGACACTTAGTGTATAGGTTTATCTCATCAATACCTTGAGTAAGTTCCATAAATAAGCATTTTCTGCTTATGGGTAAGCAGAGCGATAAGCAATTTGATTGGTCGAGACTTTGGAACACAACTCTCCTTCTAATTGAGGAAGAATGTTCATACTTGGTGTAGGCATTCATTAGGTGAATGTCTTGATGGAGTTCGATGATAAAGCTTGTCTGCTTACGGTCAGCAGAGATAAGCAATCTGATTGGTTGATAACTTTGGTTTTAATTAAGTGAGAGTGATGAAACTCTGAGTATAGATTCGTTATATCATTACCTTGACTAAGTTTGTTAATGAGAATTTTCTGCTTAGGCTAAGGATCGATAACTTTGATTCTATATGATAGAGAGTGATCAAACTTAGTGTATAGGTGATAATTTGTTTGATTGCTTGATACTTTTGAAAAAAAATAAATGTGCGATTAATGAATATGTGTCATCTATTTATTTTGGGATTTCGGCGGGGGACATCAGCCTCACTGTTGGCTTGTTTTTTTTATGAATAAGGTTTCTGAATGCTAACAATACAGTAATGTTAATGTATTTTGTTAACAGTTGTTATGGCGGAAGGTTTGTGGTGGCTGCTGATTCATCAATATTAAATGGTCAACCAATCTGGCAGGTTTCAGAATCGAATTCTGTTGACACTAGAGTTACCTCCACCTTATATGGTCATGAAGAATCATGTATTAGTGCTGTTGCTATGTGGAATGGTGAGGTAAACAGATTTTGCTAAATGAGGGACTGAAAACATTAAATCAATCTTAATTTGATTGAAGTGATGAATTTAACTTACTTTCATTACTTCAAAAATTTGACTAAGTTCAATACTAAGTATATTCTACGACTCAGGTTATCAAAGTGATATCAACGTGATTGGTCTGTGCTTTATAAAAAGGTAGCCTTGTGCAACTAGAAATAGATCACGATTTCTTGTATGTATATATTTTGTCCTTTATGAATCTCAAATTTTCAAAACATTAAAGTTAGATTTTCGGATATTTTTTTCATTGTAGGTACTATCAGGAGATGTTATTGGAAATCTGTTTAAATGGAAAATTCCGTTAGATGGTTCTGATTGTTCCAAACCCATTCATATAGCTAAATTTTCTGTTAGCTATACAAAAGCTATTTATTATGACGGTCATGTTATATTTTGTTTGTTAGGTAAAGTACTTAAGATATTTACATTTGCTGAGATTGTACTAAATGGATCTAAATTTTAGATATTTACTGGGAAAAATGACCGTCCCCCCCCCCACCCCAATACCCATGAGTGCTATCAGGGGGATTTTGTTTGGTCAGCGGCAGTACGTCAAAATCTAAATTTGATTTCCAACTGTAGGGATCTCTAACGTTCTGCCAATTGTATACTTGTGCCATCTTATCAACTGGAACTTTATTTTGACAGACCCTCAATTCTGCACCACTGGCAATGTGAAACCAGACAGGAAAATCTGGAGGAACTTTCTTGGCAAACAGCAGGAGCGAATAAACAATACATCATAAATATTCCATATTCTCAGTAGATTGACATGAAAATAAACTTTTATATATTTGATAGGTGATGGAAGTATATGTTGGCGAGTTGGATCTAGTAAATTTCAAACTTTACCCAATACACAGGAATTAGAAGTTTTCTCAGCTACACCTGTTTGTATGGCTTGTAGAGCAAGACTACTAGCAATAGGACTTAATTCAGGTATTAATGACTAGGTTTTTTTTTTCTAAATGAATTGGGTTATAAATCTTACTTTTCCACATCAAGTGGGCTAATGGAGACTGATATATGCCTTGCAGTGTGTTTGGATGGGAATTTTGCATTGACAGGCTACTTTTGTTTCAAATTCCAAATGCCAAGGGGTCTTTCACATTCATTAGTAATTTCTACACGGGACCACAATTTTGAAATTTAACTCAACTTAAAAGTTAGCACAAAAATTGACTGAATACTTACCACTTGAAGATGTACTGAAGATGCCATCTTTTATTTGTGCATGTTCTTCAAGCATTTACAGATTTGAATTTTATATAAGATGTGCATTATTTGACAAAAGGAGAGAATGGGGGATTATTGAACCCCTCATTTTGAGACTAACATGTTATATATCTTTGTCTGTGATCAATGTTAGTCCTTGTTTTCCTTTCATGCTTGTCTGTGACAAAGAGTAGAAAGTTGTCTGTCTAACCTTGTGGGTTTTCTCGTTATTTCCCACTAAAGATACCTGCATGCAGACGAATTATCGGAATCAAAATACTGTATATTGAAATGAAATGAAATGGGGTTTAACGTCCTACTGTTCTGCTCCTAACCTGGGCTAATGAAGACTGGCATACACCATACAGTTTGCCATGAGGGAAATTTTGCCCGGGCAGCGGCGCTACGGCATACTCTTATATCGAATTCCAACTGTCAAGGGATCTTTTACGTGCACGCCAATGTGTACACGGGACCTCGGTTTTTCGCCCCATCCGAACGACTAGACAGCTGTCCTTGTCAGGTCCTCCATCCTGCATCACTGAAAAGGTGAAACCATGCCGGAAAATCGGAATGAACTTTCTCGGCCAATGCAGGGATCGAACACCAGACCTCCAGCATAGCGAGCCAGCGTCTTACCCACCTAGCCATATGACCCCCCTGTATATTAAAATGTCTAAAATGACCAAGGTTGATTTTGGTGGACACTAAGTGAACAGACACATCGGCAGTAAGAAGAAACTGAAGAACATCCTTGTAAAATATAATCATGGGATCAAGCTCAAACTTGCATAGGTGACAATCCTTGTGATCCACACTGTGTATATAGTTTATCAGATAATCATTGTATTATTGGAGAGAGCCAACCATTTTGTAACATGATCTAGTTTAATTTTGCTATATTTATTTTGCAGGTTCAGTGCTGATATATTTTTTTGAGAACCAGAAATCGTGGGATAATTTTAATCCCTCTCAACCAACAAGTTATGTTAAAGCCAGCCAAGACAGTGTTAACTCCATTGATATTGGTGATGATGGTGAGGGACCAGTTATTGTAACTAGCTCAACTAACGAGGGTATTTCAAAGTTTTACTGGAGACCTCCCTAATAGATCTGTGATATAACATTTCATTCATATTTATTTGATGATATATAAAGAAATTCTATAAAGAGCTGTTTTTGAAAAGGGGAAGTGTTACCAGATGCTTTGTAAAAACAGATTGCTTCTACTATATGTGACCAGCTCTGAATAAATGAGAAACATGTCACAGACCACTTATTTGAGATACGTTTTTTTTTTTTTTTTGTTAACCCATGTTGATTTTACAGCATATCAGTCATTAAAAATGACCTAAACTATCAGAAATACATAAAATGTGTTGTTTTTGTTACTCTGGAATCTTGCTTAGTTCCATTAATTATAAATGATTATTCCTACAAATTAATAGATATATTCTATACCAACTTCAAAACTGAATTTTATTTTCTAAGATAAATGTCACATACCAGTTTAAAGTTCTCTGAACATAGAATTTAAATATTGTGATCTGTTGACCAGTGTGTCTTGTTTAGTCAGAGTCGGTCACATATTATTTTAAAATAGTCCAGTCAGTCACATATCATTTTAAAATAGTCCAGCTGTTGCCAACTATTCATATTTCATTCATTATCTAGTATTAACATAGTTATACCCATGCTCAACTCGCATTACAACTCTTTTCATCTTTGGGTAACAAATCAACTTTATGACTGTGATGTCATGGTAGTAACTGTCAGTCATGTAAACAAACAAAGCAATAAGAACATGTTATTGTAGTCTTTGATTCAATGATTTTCTTGACAAATCAATCACATGTTTACAAAGAATGGCTATATTATACCACAAGCACATGGTTTTGTTTATAAACAGTGACTGACAGTTATCCTGATAACATCACATCTGGCGTTTTCAGTTTGCCTTTACACTCGAAATAAATTGTATTTCGTGTTCTGCATTGTGGAAACTATTTCAATAGTAGATAAACAAAAATAAAGAATCTGCAAGGGTTCAAATTTTCCTTAAAAAGAGCTGTTTTTATTGTACTATTTTTTGTCAGAGCATCATATTAAAAGAGCTTCACCAAAGAATCTGCAATGGCTAAACTTTTCCTCGAATCATGCTTATAGCAGTTTGGGAAAGTGCTGTTTTTATTGTACTTTTTTGTCAGAGCATTAATGTACATCATATTAAAAGAGCTTCAACCATCCTCAACCTGAAAACAGATTGTTTCGTTTTCATTTGTCAGAGCAATATATATATATATACCTCATCCTGTGCTTTAAACTTCCAATAGTTAGTATTAATGATTACATTTTATTTTGCTTAAGCTAAAGCCCCAACCTGCTAAAATAAAGGTTAAAGATACATTATTCAAGGGCTAAATGTTATATGAATTATTAATGGGACATTTATGAACATGACAAGATCATAATCAACTATGCCATCAGATGCTCAAGATTTTAACTACTAATTTGAATGAAAATTTTCAATATTCATTTTGCATTATCTATTTTTGAACTATTATAGCAAGAACGACCAGCTCTTTATCTAAATCTTACATAATGTATCTTTACGTTTATTGTTTAGTACCCTAAACAATCAACAGTACTTTTTAAAAACATTATTCAAATCGATCAATTCTTATGGCCATTTTAGGTGTAGATTGGTTTCTATTGATTTCAAACATCTTTGTCCCTATTAGTCAGAATAGTAATGATAATTTTTCTATTGTTTTGGTACAAGCCAGCTCATTCTTCATGAAGGTCTCTTTATAGTATAAGATACACCAATACGAATTGTTGTTCTTTCACAACACCTATTCAAAATTTTGCTTCTTAGATTAAAAAAAATTTAATTTGACAACAAGAAGTACTTGCTGGCTCTTCTCAAAAGCTTTGATTTCCAAACTTTTAAGTTCAAAATTTTTAAACAAAGAATTGAAATTGTGTGGCCTCGACTGTGCTTAAGTATATAATGACAACATCCTTTATATTATAATTTTTTGAATCTGCAATTTTAATTAAAGGCCTGCAGAAGTTCAATAACAATTTTCCCTATTTAAATGTAAGGAAAGTGAGGACTGAAAAGTTTACTTAGATTGTAATCTTGATCATTAAAACCAATAAATTTTTTGTTTCTGTTTATTTAATAATTTTGTAAATTTTTGGGACATGAAGCCTGTAGCTTTATATGCCATGAAATATCATTTATTCTTAAAAGTAAAATGACTTAGATGCAAATTTTGATTGTTATTTATTTTATTACTGTAATCAGTAAATGGAGTTATATTAGAAATTATGTTATAAGAAAGTTGTTCTTTTCTTATTTGTTTAGTTCAGATTAATGTAGGGCTATTCCATTTAAAACTATCGGGATAGGTGGAAATGTCATGTTTCAAAAAGATTTGGTAGTGGAGGGTTACCAGACTAATTGCTCAGTATAGTTTACATGCAATTTTTTTAGAAAAGAAAAGGTCTGTTAGTAGAAAGATGTTAACAAATAGGCTACATATATTTTGTTACAAGGGAAGTCTATAAAATGTAGCATTGCCACACATACATGTAGTTTAAAGTGGAATAGTCCTAAGGCCAAGGGCTTTCAAGAAAAGAAAATTATCTTATTAGTTCATTATTAAAATAGTCATTTATTTATTTTCTTGTTCTTTACTATGAAATTATCAGAAGTTAAAGTTTCTTTAAATTTATAATAGTGAATTATGAATCTTATTTTATGACAGTATATGTTTATAATTGCTTTTCATTTTATTTATACATTTTGATATACATGTAAATCTGTGATTATAAGACAAAATATGGATTAAAATAAACATTATTTTATAGTTTCTTTGTTTTTAACGTTACATACTATAAAAACTAATTCAGTTCCTAGCAAGGAAGTGTGTGTGTGAAATTGTTATATTTTATGTCCGCTTCCACCAAGGTGAAACTGCAGACAAGCTGGCAAGCAATATAACATGCAAAACTTAAAGTTATCATACCCCCCAACCCAAACCAATTTAGATCCTTGCAAAAAATAAAATAACATCAATTTTTATACGCCCACATTTTTATGTGGATGTATATTGTTGTCGTCCCTGTCCGTCCTTCCACAATTTGTTTGTGGACACTCTACAGGCATAATTTTTATCGGATTTTGATGAAACTTGAACCTAGCGTTGCCAAAGGGTTTTCAAATACTTAAAATGTCTCTAAAATGGCTATTTCACTGCATGTGTCAACCATGTACATTCAATAACCAACCACATAGAAATCCCACAGCATTGAAATATTTACCCAATCTGTTTCTTGATGTGATGAATACACAGAGAATGTTTATTTAAGGTCACAGTTCCTTGAAATACATTTTTGACCATACCAGGTCAAGGTCAAAATGAAAGTGGAGGTCGTGGAGGATCAACTACATATCCGAAGGTTATGAAACTTTTGCAGTCTTTACCTGGAGCCATATATCAGATACATCTAAAAAAAAAGTTGGCGAAGAACAGTTGTTGACCAATAAAAATATAATTATTTATTAAACTATGCAAGAGCTAAATCTGCTTATTGCAGGTCTTTCTTTAAGCCTGAAATGTTTTCTAAATTATTAATTAGACATTAATTAACTTATCCAGGCCATAATCAACTCTCGATGGCATCAGATTTCTCCGATATTAAATAGATTAGAACGGTTCACACATATTTTAATTTAATCTAAATGGAGGAGCGAGACTTAGCTTCGAACAACCAGTATGATGGTTGAAATTATTGCACACATCTTGTTAAACCTTCAAAGGCTAATATCTTCGCTCGCAATAGATTAGCCTAATTTGAATGAAATTTTCAAATTACCGGTATTCATTTTACATGATCTATTTTCGAACTATTATAGCAAGAATGGCTAGCTCTTTATCTAAATCTTACATAATGTATCTTTAAAGGCACACTTTGTAAAATTAGGAAATTGGATTCTTTCTAAAAAGAAACATATATACACACAAGTAATAGATAGATATGTTCTTAACAAATATAATAAAACCTTTTTGGCAATTATGTCTAGAGGTCATCAGTCATATGCAAAAAAATATAGACATATAAATATAAATAATTAAATGTTATGATACATTATTCAAGAAAAAAAAATCCTCACCCCTCCTCAAAAAGAAACAAATATATCTAGTTATGAAATTATCAAGAAAACAAAAATATCTACAACAATGAATAACTATATTTATTTTAAAATTGCACATAATGATAAAAAATATCAATGGTAAAAGCATACAGTGTAAAATTAGTAATTCAATGCACATATTTGTAGCCAGAAAATACACTCTGTATTTGACCATTAAAATAATGTACCTTTTCTGGAACAGTTGAAGAATCTGTATTTTTGGAAGAGACCCAGGAGTGAAGAGTAAAAGAATCTTTGTGCTTGTGTCAATACCTGAAAAAACAAAACCCCTGGATTGATACAATATAATCCCTTGACTCTTCAGTTCAGATTATTGTTTGTTTTTTTTAGTTATAATAAAAAAAAGTGCTGCATTGAATAAACACAGTATAAATGTCCTCAAAGTACAGATTGAAAAGCTCACTTGGAATTCACTTACTCCGATCTCTTTTTTATTCTCCTCAGATGACGTTTTAAATAATGGTTGGCTGGGAATATTCATCTTCAACAATAAATTTTCAAATAAATGAGATTCACATTTTCAATTTGTTTTGCCAATGGATGCCTAATAATAATAATATCTTTATCTAAACCAAGTCTGCCTAATTTGAGATATATTTTTCTCAAAATTCAATTTTTAGCCCGTAATATTATATAAAAATAAAAATATTGATATTGACATTATGCAAAAATCATCTAAATACTTCCCACTTGCATAAATAAGTATGCTAAAGTTAGATGAAAAAAAATTTGGCAAGACAAACCCAACGCCTAGCCTTCTTTGCCAATCTGTTTCACAGAGAATTACGAAAGTCTTCTAATATCTCTGTAAAAGATGACTGACAGCAACACATGGCGTCACATCATGCGACGTCAATCATTGGCGTGTGCATTGTTTACACAGACGTTACTGTTTCGGGCAGAATGGTTACATTATTATACGTCCATATTATGCTGTCGCCCCTGTCTCTGTGTGTGTTTGTGGGTCGCCTACAGGGGGCAATTCTTACTGGATTTTCTTCAAACTTTGTACACTTATTCCTTATACCATAAGGGTGATGCCTATTTTTTTTGCCGACCCCCATGTGCAGAGTCACACCTTTTTCTTGTATTTGTTTGTTTCTCGTCTACAGGCCGTATTTTTTAACATATCACCTTGAATAAACACAGTATAAATGTCCTCAAAGTACAGATTGAAAAGCTTACTTGAAATTCACTTACTCCAATCTCTTTTTTACTCTCCTCAGATGACGTTTTAAATAATGGTTGGCTGGGAATATTCATCTTCAACAATAAATTTTCAAATAAATGAGATTCACATTTTCAATTTGTTTTGCCAATGGATGCCTAAGCCAAGTCTGCCTAATTTGAGATATATTTTTCTCAGAATTCTCAGAGTTGTCTTTCCATAACTCCTTCTGAGCTGCAAGTAGGCCTAGTCTAAAAACGACAGTAGAAAACAATAGATTACCAAAACTGGAGCAAAAAAGTAAATTTACACTTCAAAGAGTAGTTTTTATTTTCATGCAAAGAGTTTTCTTTCTTAGGCTTTAGATTTTAGTAGAAAATTCACACTTCATTCAAAGAGTAGTTTTTATTTTCATGCAAAGAGTTTTCTTTCTTAAAGATGGGTTCCCGCGTACAAACTGGGTGATTTAATGGTATATATGGACCAAAAACATATTCAAACTAATTAATTTGTCACAATTATGCTTCAAATCCTTCTCAAACATTGTAATTGCGAAGGAATGCCCTGCTAATAAAATTCGATCAAACCAGGTCATGTTTACGTCACGTCGTGGGAGTCAGAGGAGAATTCATTGCATACATAAGACGATGTTGTCTTTAATCGCTTACTATTTATTACAAATATCGAATCCTAATTAAATTCTCGGATTATCTACTACCCGCGTCTTTTTCCGTCATTTTTATCTCAGAAAGTATTGTGCGTCTAACTCTTCATAAAGTTTATCAACTTGTACATCAAGCGCTCAATGGTCGCTTGTGACCTTTGACATTGCACGCGTGTAGAAGTTCCTAATCGTCGGGCTGTTGATTAGGGGAACCCTTACATTTTTGTCCTGTATACGCTCCATGAGTGTTTTTCGGGGAATCCAGTATTTTTCTAGTAAGATTGTATATCTCTACTTTCCATATATACCAAAATTGCCATACTTTTATTGGAAATAACCACCCGATAAATACTTTTCTGGGAACCCATCTTTTCTTAAGCGGTGGACACACTAGCCGAATGATTCGGCCGAATCAATCGGCGTCGAAATTGCCTAGTGTGTCCACTGTCATTCCTCCGAATTATATTCGCCTGGTGTGTCCGCTTCGCCGAAGCATTCGGCCGAATATAGAATTCCTTAGCCAATCACCACTCATATCGAGAAGTCACGTGATAGATTGAAGACGTAGACGCCGCCATGTTTAATCATGTGACGTGAAAGGTGATGCAACTGACAGGTTGAATCGGGCGAAGCATTCGGCTAGTGTGTTCACCCATTCGGCCGAATAAAATTCGACGCCGATTGATTCGGTCGAATGATTCGGCTAATGTGTCCACTGCTTTAACTTAAGCGGTGGACACACTAGCCGAATGAATATTTTTTCGCCCGAATTATATTCGCCTGAAGTGGTGTGTCCGCTTCGCCGAAGCATTCGGCCGAATGTAGAATTCATTAGCCAATCACCACTCACACTCGCCGAATGTCACCACTCATATAGAGAAGTCACGTGATAGTTTGACGCCATAGACGCCGCCATGTTTAATCATGTGTCTGTGATGTGAAAAGGTGATGCAATCGACTGGTGAATCGGGCGTAGCATTCGGCTAGTGTGTCCACCCTATCGGCCGAATAAAATTCGGCGCCGATTGATTCGGCTAATGTGTCCACTGCTTTAGGCTTTAGATTTTAGTAGAAAATCTTAAAACTCTTGTTTGAAAATGCAGTAGGAATGTATTACAGTAGAGCAGTAGCCTACACGAGGCCTTGTTGCGGCCGGTATGCCTCCCAGAAAAATTAGTATAAAATACCAGGTGTGGCCTACATAGATTTAGAATTATTCCACTACAGATGTATTCCGCTTACCTCTTAACCCATTTGTTTGTAATTTAGTTACGGAGATATCTTTTTATATTGTATCATAGCTTAATTATAATCATAGACAATAATGGTTCAGAACTTTGGAGGGATATTTCTGGGAAAATTCCCAAATGCTCTTATGAAGGGTTGTGATAGGATTTAGTGGAGGACACATAAAAGGAAAGATTTCTCAGGAACTAAATTCCAAATGCGATTAGAGGCAAGACAGAAGACATCATAGTAGACCTACTAGTGTGGAACCAGAATTAACCAATGCCCAAACAACAAAATTTATCATCTAATCTGTTTTATTTTATGATCAGTAGTGGAATACCGCGTTTTATCAGTGAAATAAAAGTGTTATTCCACTGGCTAGCAGTAGTGCATGTTGTTTTTACCTAAAATGATTGTAAAATCATAAAATAAATAGAAAATATAAGTTTTCTTGCTTCTCGATGAAATAAAATATGTTATTCACTCTAAAACGACAAATATCCTCTATTTATTATAAAATAGTGTTAGTGACCAGATGTTGATTTATAATTATTCCACTACTGATGTTTTCCATATTGCCTCAAATCCCATTTGGTAATTGCGTGATAGCTAATTTCATAGAGAAATATGGTTCGGAACGTGTGGGGAGAATTTCCTGAATGCTCTTATGAAGGGTTGCGATGGGATTAAATGAAGAACACAAAAAGTACAATATCACCGGAGCTAAATTCCAAATGGGATTAAAGGCAGGACAAGACATCAGAGTACTGGAACCATTTCTAACCAGTGCTCTAACGACAAATATTTTCATCTGATCTGTTTTAAATTTATATCAGTGTCTTGTAATTTCTCCCATTACCTTCAAAAGAATAAATATGCAACAACCCTTGTCGATTGCACATGTAGCTGCTGTAGACATGTTACATTGCCTGGCAACCTATCTTGAAAAATGCGTATGGAAAGACTAAAATATAAATATGTCTATATTTCTCTTTTTTTATTTTACAGCCTAACATGTCAGATAAAAAACCCAACATCATCTACAGGAGATAAAGAATGTATGTGTGATGTCTGTGGTAAATTGTGGGTTAGTCCTTCAAAACTAGAAACACATATGAGAATCCATACTGGAGACTATCATTATTACAAAAATTGTAGTACGGACAAGAACCCATACTCGAGATAGACCATATAAATGTGATGTTTGTAAATTGTAGTAAATTATATTCAGAAAAAGGTCATCTACAAGATCACATGCAAATCCATACCAGAGATAGACCCTATAAATGTGATATTTGTAGTAAATGATTTACTATTAGCAGTGATCTACAACGTCACATGCGAATCCATACTGGAGATAGTCCCTATAAATGTGATATTTGTAGTAAATCATTCACCCAGACATGTACTCTCCAGAATCGAGAATTCATACTGGAGATAGTCCCTATAAATGTGATATTTGTAGTAAATTATTTTCTGAAAAAGGTCATTTACAGAATCACATGCGAATCCATACTGGAGATAGTCCCTATAAATGTGATGTTTGTAGTAAATTATTTTCTGAAAAAGGTCATTTACAGAATCACATGCGAATCCATACTGGAGATAGTCCCTATAAATGTGATGTTTGTAGTAAATTATTTTCTGAAAAAGGTCATTTATGTGAAGTTTGTGGTAAATCATTTTCTCAAAAAGGTCCTCTACAGAGTCACATCAGAATCCATACTGAAGAAAAACTATTTGAATGTGATGTCTGTAGTAATTAAAATAACAAAACTGGAGTAAGACTACAATATACATGTAATGTTTGTAAAAAAAATATTTGTTGTTGACAGTGCTTTAAGGAAGCATGTCCGAATAGTTCATGATGGAGAGAAAACTTATAATTGTTAAGAATGTAGCAACACATTTTTCAATAAATCAGATTTAGACAGGCATCCTGATACACACTGATGAATGAAGAAAAGAAATAAAAATATTTTTATGTTCTATAGATCTGTACAAGGTTGTTACACAAAATAAAATGGAGGTTATATTGAAAAGACTTTTTGATTAACAACCTAGGGGGAGAGGGTCTATATACACTTTTTCCTTATACCCTAAGGAGGATCCCTATTTTTTTGGTGCATGCTCGACCTCCATGGACAGAGTCATGCCTATTTCTTGTATTTTTAACGTATCATCTTGAAACTTTGCACCCCTATCAATTGGGGTGCATGCCCAACCCCAGGGGCAGAGCCATGCCCATTTTCTTTTTGTGTGTCTGTGTGTTACCTACATGCCATAATTCTTAATCGATCGTCTTGAAAATGTTCATAAATGTTATGACAATTGCCATAAACTGAGTGTTAAATTGTACGATAAACGTGATGACTTTGACTTTCCGATTGTTAACATTCCATTTATTAGTAGTAACATTCCAATATCACCAGCTTATGGAGTGTTTGTGTCTCAGCTAATTCGTTACGCGAGAGCTTGTTCCTTTTATTCTGATTTTTTTAAGTAGATCGAGGCATTTGTCATCTAAGCTTCAACTACAAGGATACTTGCGCACTAAACTTATTAAAACCTTTAAAAAGTTTTGTGGCCGTCATATTGATTTGATTGGTAAATATAACGTGTCTCTCTCGGCTATTATTCTAGATATATTTAATTGACACGTATACTATTACTTTCTCCCTGATAATATCTACTACATCGTTAACACAGTTCATCGCGTGCATTTTGCATACCGATAGTTCATTGGCCAATCACGCTATTTTACCGACGTTTCGCCTAATAGTTTGGATGAAGCTATGGCGGGTGTGGCGCCAGGCAAGGGTAAGCTTACTCTTCCGGACACCTGTTACCACTGTTTGTCGTGTAATTTGTACACGAGGAGCAGTCCATTTGCTGATTACACTATTTTGCTTGAATACACTATTTTGCCTATAACGTTTTTTAGAACTTCGAATTCTGTCTTATGGTTTGGATTGTTCGTACTTGGTTTTATTTTATTTCTACCACTGGGTGGGTTGCTCTGCCGGTGGATATTTTATGTCCCCGAGGTAACCTGAAACCCAGTAGCTTTATAGTTCCATGTTAAGTACAAATAACCAAAATATACGGCTGGGAGGCAGTTTCAGGGTAAAAAACTGCCACGATACCCCCAAGGGCACGGGGAATATCGGTGATATATCCCAAGATACTAGTAATGGTATGGGAGATATTGTAAAGTCCTCGGATGCTTCATTAATCTCAACCCAACAGTGTTCTGTCAAACTATCTGATATTTTGCATTTTTCACCACATCAATCTAACTGTTATATTTCTAAATGTATGTCTAATAATTGTAAAACCTGTCCTATTTTGAATAGCAATACCCATTTTACTAGTTCTTTAATAAAACATATTTTACACGTGGGTTTGAGAAACTAAACTGTAAAACCTCCAATATTATCTACGGTATAGAATGTACACTCTGCGGACTGATTTATGTTGGCGAAACTAAAGGACCTTTACACTTGCGCATTAATGGTCATCGTCACAACATTAATAAGGGTAGTAACCAGATTCTCTATAGACATTTTAACCAACCGGACCACTCTATACTATCAATGAGAGTGTCCATATTAGAGAAAATTTACCACCATACTAACAGCCCTACTTTGAGTACTCCCTTTCGCAGAGACCGAGAGGAATATTGGATACGAACATTAATTACTGCCACCCCTTATGGATGCAATGACAATGTAGCTAGTATTGGGAATTTATCAAGCCCTGCGTGTAGCGTTGTTAATGTCATGGCGTTATTCCCAAAGTTTCGTCGTCGAAAACGCAGTCATGGACATCGTCGCTACACACCACCTAAGCTCAGCACTATATCACTGGACGCCCTTTTGGAAATTATTCAAGAACCATTAGGGCCACACCATATCCGTACTAAATTATATTCTATTCCACTTACTATTTTGAAATTACTTAAATCTGAATGTTTGGATTCAAATTGTACTGATCATGCATCCACTAAATACAGGGTTGTATCCATTGTTCTTGACATTGCCCACCGTCGTTTGGACATTACGACTGAGCCTGATGCGTCACACACCACCAACAGTTCATTTCTAAAACTGAAATTTGCTAATAAAGGCATTGATGCTATCGGGTTAAGCCAAATATTACACCATAAGAAAGTCACAGCACACATCCCTCCTTACTTCAAAACTGTTACTGTTCCTAGGATTTCTTATACTTATACTAAACCCATTGCATCCAAAATATTTAATTACAGAAATGCATTATCTAACATCAATGCAAAAGAATTATATGACGACCCTCTACCCTGTTCTTGCTCTACGTCGTCCTTCCTTTACCCACCAGCTGGACATGTGGTCACTGGTGATTTGAACATAGCCCAGAATAATAAGCTACGTGAAATTTTGTCCAAAGGACCCAAATACCGGGAACCGCAACCATTTTCATGGGATCAAAATTTCAAACTTATTATGGATGCCGTAGAGGACTACGCTAGATCATGGGCAAAGAGGGAAGATGTTATCTCGGATACTCTCTCTGATTGGACTAAGTCTATCAGTCGTTTACTTAAACGAAGAATATACATGCAACGTTTGTCAGTTGACACTAGGCCTAAGTCTATTTTCAATGATGTTAACATTGTTGAAAATCTCAACGCCTTGCATGACAAGTATGTCATTGTTCCGGCTGACAAGGCGTCCAATAACATAGTGTTTATATGTAAACGACATTATTTTGACTGTCTGTTCAAAGAACTTAATTTCGGGAAACCAATCGACAGTGCTACATATAAACGACCAACTCTTAGTAAGGATGAAATTATATCCAATCACAAATCTGTACTCACTTCATTTGGTACTCCGTGTGGAGATACCTATACAGATTTGTCCTTGTTATATTGGATACCTAAACTACATAAAAATCCCTACAAGCAACGTTTTATAGCAGGTTCATCCCGTTGTTCCACAAAAACACTTTCAAAAGTATTGACATCTATACTGACGGCTGTTAAAGAGGGTATTCAAAAATACTGTGACAATATATACTCTCGTAGTGGTATAAATCAAATGTGGATATTGAAAAATTCCAAAGAATTACTTGATGGTTTGCAATCTAGATCCCTTGCTTCAGTCTCATCTATTCAAACGTTTGACTTTTCTACTTTGTACACTAAAATTCCCCATAGTAAATTAAAAGCCCGGTTGAAAGACATTATTCACAGTGTCGTTTCGTCTAAATCAGGTACTGCGAGATATCAATATTTAGTTGTAAATTACAATTCCACATATTTCGTTAAGAATCACAGTGATTCCAAAAACAAATTCACGGCCATCAAGATAATTCAGATGTTGGATTTTTTAATTGACAACATCTTTGTTGAATTTGGAGGGGAAATATATCAGCAAGTGGTTGGCATTCCCATGGGCACCAACTGTGCACCTTTGCTTGCTGATCTGTTTCTCTATTCGTACGAAGCCGATTACATACAGACGCTCGTAAAAACTAATAAACGATCAGTCAGACTTTTTAATTTCACTTATCGATATATCGATGACGTTTTATCACTTAATAATCCTAAATTTAGTGATTATGTAGAATTCATATATCCTGATGAGCTCGAAATTAAAAACACCACTGACAGTGACAATTACGCTTCCTACTTGGATCTGCGTCTCGATTTTGACAATTGCCATAAACTGAGTGTTAAATTGTACGATAAACGTGATGACTTTGACTTTCCGATTGTTAACTTTCCATTTATTAGTAGTAACATTCAAATCTCACCAGCTTATGTAGTGTTTGTGTCTCAGCTAATTCGTTACGCGAGAGCTTGTTCCTTTTATTCTGATTTTTTAAGTAGATCGTGGCATTTGTCATCTAAGCTTCAACTACAAGGATACTTGCGCACTAAACTTATTAAAACTTTTAAAAAGTTTTATGGCCGTCATATTGATTTGATTGGTAAATATAACGTGTCACTCTCGGCTATTATTCTAGATATATTTAATTGACACGTATATCTACTACATCGTTAACACAGTTCATCGCGTGCATTTTGCATACCGATAGTTCATTGGCCAATCACGCTATTTTACCGACATTTCGCCTAATAGTTTGGATGCAGCTATGGCGGGTGTGGCGCCAGGCAGGGTAAGCTTACTCTTCCGGACACCTGTTACCACTGTTTGTCGTGTAATTTGTACACGAGGAGCAGTCCATTTGCTGATTACACTATTTTGCTTGAATACACTATTTTGCCTATAACGTTTTTTAGGACTTCGAATTCTGTCTTATGGTTTGGATTGTTCGTACTTGGTTTTATTTTATTTTTGTCTAAAGCAGTGGACACATTAGCCGAATCGTTCGGCCGAATTGTTCGGCCGAATCAATCGGCGCCGAATTTTATTCGGCCGAATGGGTGGACACACTAGCCGAATGCTTCTCCCGATTCAACCTGTCGATTGCATCACCTTTCACGTCACATGATTAAACATGGAGGCGTCTATGTCTTCAATCTATCACGTGACTTCTCGATATGAGTGGTGATTGGCTAATGAATTCTATATTCGGCCGAATGCTTCGCCCGAATCAAAGGTAAGGTTTTCGTTGTTCACTCGAGTCGACACCAGACCGTTCGCGTTTTGAATCGAGTTGGTCACATGACTGACTCGTAGTCGCATCACGTGACTAACAGGGTTTGTCACGTGACAAAATGGCGTCCTATACGCAAAAAAGCCTGTCTCTCGATCACATACTGACGTCGTAACTGTTTTGATGTCATGTGACTACTCGGACCGTTCGGGATGTTTCACCCGGGTAAACTCGGCAATGGAGTCGACTCGAGTGACGCGAGTAAACGACGAAAACCTTACCAAAAAGGTTTGATATTTATTCGGCCGAATATATCAAACCTGTTTGATTCGGGCGAATCATTCGGCCGAATAGAAATTCGGCCGAATGACAGTGGACACAATAGGCGAATTTCGACGCCGATTGATTCGGCCGAATCATTCGGTCGAACGATTCGGCCGAATCATTCGGCTAGTGTGTCCACCGCTTTATCGGTTTTGTTTGTGTGTAGTGCAGTTCTACTGCTCTTACTATATAAAGCAGGTGATAAGGTAGGCCTACAGAAGCCTTACATCGCAGCATATATAGTCACAGGATAGATTCACATGACTATCATGTTCAACAGAAGGCTTGATCTGACTTTAACTCTGGACATCTTATGCCTTATAATAATACCCAACATTTTCGGCACTTCTTTCTAATTTACTTTTTGGTCTTCCATTATGCTAGTAAGGTTGCTTTTCTTTGATTTCTGTAAGTTTTTCAATTAAACAGCTGAGAACAAAATTTATTCCTTTACATATTAATGTGTCTGTGGTAGAGGGAGATAACTACCTAAAAGTTTGGGAATTTAAGACTAATCTCCCTGTGGTAGAGGGAGATAACTACCTAAAAGTTTGGGAATTTAAGACTAATCTAGCAATGGCTAGATGTTGTAAAACTTGCAATTGTTGCTTCAGAAATTTGTATCAGACAGGACCATCATAATCCTGCCCTAATAAGTTGGTGCATGTTAGCACCTTTTTAACAGCTGTTGCTGAAACATTGTTCCTCACAATATATAAGATAGGTAAGCAAATCGATAAACAAATAAATAAACAATTTATCACCATAAATTACTTTATTGCACATATTTATTCTTCATTTAAAAACAAATAACAAAATATTCAACCAAATGTCATCTCTTATGTTTCATTTGTTTATTACATTATTTTGTCATTATGTAGTGCAGTGTTTTACCAGAACTAAACATAATCCTAACTCTTGATGTGATGCACACATTCTGGTATAAAAACGTTGAAAATTACATGAAATGGGCATTACCATACATTATAATTATACTTTTCTGCACATTTGAGTTTAAGTTTTATAATCCATATTCAATTAAATAAAGCCGAAAAATTTTTTCAACAAATTCTGTAGATATATCAAAACTGCTCGTTTTAACACTTAATATATATGGCGACTTAACTTCTGTATGTCTCTAACTACACTAGATAGCCTACTCTAATACGTCATTTTGCAGACATGTATAGTGAATGACATATAGTGAGAAGCCAGACGTTTTTTCTTATATGTTAACCAGTTTATCACCTATATTGTCAATTGATGCATTAATGTATCAAATACCTAATAGTCTTGATCCAGCCATAATCATATTCACAAGTTTTACCATACAGGATGTTACCTGAAGTAAGATGATTTAACAAGACTATAGTCCTGATGACATGGTAACAAAATAAAATATTCAGAAAAATATCCATTAGTAATTTCTAATTATTTAATTCACATTTATACATATTAAACTACAAATTGGAAGATTTTTCTAATTCTTCCATTACCACAAAGGGAAACAAATATGATTTAAGCTCTTGTGATTTCTACGAAAAAGCTACATATGGGCATTCCATTGATTCCAGCTTATTTGTGACACAATGATTTTCTAGAGCTCGATTCCAAAATGCACTAAATGTTATTCAAACATTTGGTTTCCTAATCCAAAAGCATTTAACCTCTATCACCCTTATGTAATTTTTTTTTATTTATTTTGTAAAATGTTTTGGAAAAGAGCTCTACAGTTTAATCTATATTTTATCAATATATATACATAAAATGTACATTAATGAAAGATAGGTTGCCAGGCAAAGAAACATACACCCACAGCAGAAAATCATCCAAGCAGTCCTGAAGGGTTGTCGCCTTACAGTTTTTTTGGTTACATGAGCATTTGCAAGACGCTATAAAAAAGGTTATCAATGAACAAACACTGTGCATAAATTTCAAGTCAATAAGATAATAACCACATGAATGTGCATCCGATTTTTCAAAGTGATCAAAGTGTAATAACTCTGCAATTAATTATTGGAAATTGTTTCAAATCGGTACTTATTGGAAATTGTTTCAAATCAGTATATCTCTTACGAACATAAACACTTTATAATAAGTAAATTGGGGATGAAGTTTGCCTCTAAAGCATCCATAAAGAATTGTGGATGAACAGACAGACACAGGTGATGGCAATATACAACCACATTACAATCTGGGATTATAAAATTTATCAAATACCATTAACAAAATATATCTTTATAAAACAATAAAAATTTGGTATGCAGTTTACATAAAGTTCAATTTTCACAAACAAATTGGGTGTTGATTGCTTTGAAATATCATTTAAAATACAATTACATTCATCTTATTAAGATGGCTTTACAACATATACATGGGCTTCTGATAAAATGATTACAGCTATATTTTAAAATGTAATCAATTTCATAATAATTTATAAAGTTATCTCCATTACAGGTAAATTTCAATGTAATCAAATAAATTACAATTAACTTTTGTATCAGATTGCTTGAAAAAATATGTAATCTATTCAGCTGATCAATGTTCCTTTTGTTCTTTGAATGTTTTCCATGTATCAGAATATAAGATTGAGAAAGTGAGATACAAAACAAGATTGATTTTAGCAAAAATATAAAATGTCATATAACCTTGCATGTGTAACAATAAAATACAAGTGGGACATTAAATGGATGACAAATGATCATAATGTGATATTTATATTTAACAGGTGTACATAGACAAATATACAGGGTGCACCTTATACATGGGTGAGTCTTATACATGTGCGTCTTATACATGGGTGAGTCTTATACATCAGTAAATTATCATCACAGAACAAAGACTTCTATTTTTTAACATATTTTCAGACCTGTTTATACATCTAAATGACAGAAATTTTAACAAGAAGCAAACTTAATATTGTATGATGTACTAGTATGAAGTGATCAGCAGAATGAACTATTTATTATGCTGTTTAACACCTAGTGCACACGGGGGATTGTAGACTCCCAAACACAGAATAAATGAGCATACCAAAGTCCAAAAACAGCCAAGGGTTTTCATCATCTAGACCATATCACCTTGATTTTCAAAAGCAGAGTTTTGCAACAAAATAAAAATGATCTGGAAAAGTTGTTATACCCGCGTTGATGTGAGGGATTAGCCAATGAAACGATCTGTTGCAGCGAGTTCTTGCATGCGATGCAGGGAACTGTGGGTATCCTACCAGAAACATCAATGCAGATTGGTTATCAAATGTCTGACGTCATAGGGTCATATGACCCCGACGCAACCTTCCACTACAACTGCAGTAGAGGCCATTAAAAGTATTTTAATCAGACTGGTATTGGCAACAATAATCATCTGTTGCTACCATTTATATCCCGTATTTTCATATAATAATCGTTTCAATTAGTTTTTACGTTTTAGATAGATATCATCCATATATGGGTACCAAACACTAGAAACAAACTATGAGTGTAGTTTTCTGTTTATCAAAATGTACTATTCGGCTGTGTATACTAGGTGTAACCGGGTGTTCTCAGCAGCATTACGCATACAGATTTATACAACTATATTCTATAACAAACACTTCTATTCTATTAACAGATAATTAATTAAAAAGATCCATTATCAGTTTTATACAACAAAATATACAAAGTTTTTAAATATTTAGTTTTTCTGGATGTAAGGATGTATTTTTTCTGGATGTAAGGCCAGAATTATTTGATGTATGAAACAAATGAGACCTGACATCATTAGCTTTCATAATTAATTACAGCATATAATAAATAAAACATTCAGCAAGAATTTTGAACATGTTCCGGTAACTTGTACACCTTCACATTGTGTGAAACCAATATGAAAACAAATAGTATTGTTATTCTTGTATTATTACAGTCTTTTTTTACAAATATTTCAAATTATAATCCACTTGAATACAACAACTTATATTTTAAATATCTGCTGGTGGAACTATAATTAATCCAGTTGAACGAAGAATATCAATTCCTTTATGCAGAACACAAACTCGAGAATATCCCAGCCGAACCAATTCATTTGCGAACTGAAAAATATAATAAGGAAGACCTGTGAAGTTTCAGAAAATAAAATGGAGTTTATTGGGCTACTTTACTGCCATAAACAGGCTAATAAAGACAGGCATACACCATGCAGTGTGTCATAAGAAAAATTTTGTCCGGACAGAAGTTTTAGGGTTGACTCGTCTTTCAATTTCCAAAAGGGGGAGAGAGAGAGAAATGGGGTTTAACGTCCACTCGACACAAACTAGGTCATTTCGCGACTAACATAATGTTTTAATTTTATTTCAATAATTCGCTTGCGCGTAGGGGTCTTTAGCAGCGGGAGGAAACCGGAGGACCCGGAGAAAACTCATGAGGTTGGACAGGCGACCCTACTCCTTGTCACGTACAACCAGGGATTCGAAACCAGGGAGAGAGGGAAATGGGGTTTAAAGTTCTACCCAGCCTAAACTAGGTCATTTCAGGATTAATACATGTTTATTTTTTTTTTCTCAATAATTTGCTTGTGCGGATGTTTCTTTAACAGTGAGAGGAAACCCATGCGGTAGGACAGACGACCCTATGCCTTGTCACATACAAGCGGGGAATCAAAACTATGCCACTTGACTAAATGACAGACCTTTTGATTTCATGCACACACGTTAAACCACTGGACTAATCAACCCCCATCCCAACCCCAAATTTCCAAAAGGCAGGAAATAGTTAATGTGTTGCCAATGGTATGCACATGATGATATTTTTTTTTTTGAGAGGCTTTGCAACCAGAATCCATATCAAGGGTTAGGGTTGGATAATACTTGAGCATCTTTCTCGGACAAAACTGGGATTATCAGCTAGCTCCATACTCAATGAGCTAAAGTTTTATTTCCCGAAGTTATGGGTAATTCCTCAGTTCTAGGAAGTGGCATGTATTTTGTACAGAACACCGTTTTATTGTTTTCAGTGTACTTGTGTTATGTGTCTTGTCTTGTATGTGTGATGCGGTTCTTTTGCACTTACTATCAGTTACATACAATCTTATACATATGGACAAATTTATGTTGTTTAGGGAAAAGAAAATTTTTCAAAGTTTGTACTTAAATAAATATATATACGCTGTTTCTTAAAACAAGACCCTGACTTATAAACATAACAGAAAAAATTCACAGTATTTCATTGAAAGAAAGACTAAACTATTAAAGAATAAAGTACTTACATTACAAGCGTTACGTCCCCTATTACCTACAACCACCTTGACAAGACTTCTACATGAGTTGAGTGTTGACACTGATTGACAAGGTAATAGATCACCTTCAGGTGAGAAAGCTGTTTGAAATGGTATATTGATACTACCTGGTATATTACCACGTTTAAATCTATATATGGTTAAGAAAATCATTCAATATCTCTTATTCAACATGCGATTAGGCCCACAGAGAAGGTGTTTCACCCCGGGCACATCCTGGGGTCCATCAAATGAATCTAATAAATAAAATATAGAGTTTTTCCCTACGTGATGCAAAAGATTGAAAGCTAAAAATTATAAATTGATTCTAAAATTCTCCAATTTACCTTTTCTGGCACTGCATACATATACTCTTCAAAAAAAGTAGGGGATATTGAAATACAAATACCTATGCAGGTTGTGATATGATAAATAGTCATGGACACTTGACATGCTTTGAGAGTACGTTCACTTATGAAGAACTTATCGCCCCAACAGAACCACTGAGCTGCACATGCGACACGCAATAGCGCCATACACTTGGGAGGGGTTCATTGTCAAATTTGACACTTCAAGGAAGGGTTGATGAAAACTGCCGCTCGCTGGTTTATCCTATCCATGTTTGCTTTCCTATCGATGTCAACCGACAAAACTGCAAGAATTGGCCGTGGCACTGCAAGAGGAGTGGGTCAAATTGCCCCAAATCATGATTAGGAGCATGCCACGACGAATTGCTGAATGTCTGAGGATTGGTGGAGCAATTACTCATTATTAAGACAAAAATCAAAAATGTCCCTTTTCACTTTTGACAGTGTATCTCTTTGCAAGTGAAATGGGTCCATCAGATAAGCCGCCCATATGAACGCTTTATGTTCATGTGTAGGGAATTGGCCTGTTCTTAACATACACTGGTTACCTCTAATAAAAACAACAGTGCATTTCCGCAGTTTTGTATTGTTTCTGAATATCACCTACTTTTTTTGAAGAGTATATAATAATTTAAGGAGTTACATAAACTATTTAAAAACATAACCATCTAAAACATTCAATAGTGTTCCAGAAATAGATCTAAAGTGGTTTACCCCCCCCCCCCCATTGCACCACCAATAAAAGGATACTCATCATTATTTCTAACATCTATCACTAGAATCATTGGTTTGCCTGACTGTTTTTTCTTGGTTGGACTCTTTGTGTTTCTGGGACCAGCCAATTCTCCAAGCTCTATTAAATCTTCTGCCGATATCCTCGGACATTTCTCAGATTTTAATTCTTTAATGCTGATCGGTTCCATTGACTGAAAAATGGACAAGAAAGTGAATATTCCAGTGCATTTTGTCGTATATTCAGAATCTATTTCCCTGTTAATGGTTACAGAACTGGGATATTAAAAACAAAAGGAGAATTTGAAATATTTCTAATGGCAACAAACCAAGCCAATTAAAGAATCATCAACAATTATCAATAATTACTTGAAACAATCGTTTGATATTTGATAACTACCCACTTCTGTTCATAAGAATTTGAATGCTGATTTTAAAACATTTCGGGAGATTGGGTTGCCTAATGATTTAACACACGTACTTTAGATTAAAATGTCTATCATTGATTCAATGGCATGGTATCGATTCCCCACTTGTACATGACAAGGAATAGGGTCATCTGTCCTTACACTGCTAAAGACCAATACACGCAAACGAATTATTGAAATAGAATTGGACTATATGTTAGTCCCGAAATGACCTAGTTTGTGTCGAGTGGACGTTAAACCCAATCTTTCTCTTTCTTTGTGACCTTATCAAAGAAGGTCTGATTGTGATAATATTCTATATAATAATGGCTACAGTAATCTGATTACAAAGACAGTGGAGATCTTTATGTAACTAAACTTGAGATATTTTCAGACATGTGAGTAGGGCTACAAGATTTTAAATGATGAATTTGTAATCATCACCATACCAGTTCAGTTTGAGGCTGTTCGTTGTAGTCTCGGCTGTAATATGAAATATTTGGACGATTCTCCAATTTTTTAATTGGTCTAGCATGTTGTCTGTATGCAGCACTCTTTGGTGTACTGCAGAATATTCTTATAGATTCTTGAACACATGATTCTATACTGATTTCTGAAAAGAAGATGAGAAACTTTAAGAAAATGTGACAATTTGTCAAGGCATGAAAAAAAACAAGCATAGAAAGTAATCATTACAAATCAGGTTGACTCGCAGAGTAAGTTGCTGGCTCTCTAACCAGAAGGTTCTAAGTTAGATGCCTGTGGTGGCCATTAAAGTTCCTCATGATTTTTCAGTCTGGCTGACATTCGTCAGTGTTGAAGGATTGATAGTGAATTAGTCTGGATGATAGTAAATTAGTCAGATTAGTCTGGATGATCATGAATTAGTCTGGATGAGTGAATTGATCTGGGTGATAGTGAATCAGTTTGGATGATCATGAATTAGTCTGGATGGCCATGAATTAGTCTGGATGGTAGTAAATTAGTCTGGATAACCGTGAATTTGTCTGGATGTCATTCCACTACCCAAGCATCGGTGGTCTTTGCATAAACAGAATGTTACCCTTCTATCGCCCCAGTTCTTAAACATGTGTAGGATGTTAAACCCTATTTCATTTCTTAAAGACCACGTAAGATCAAAAATCTAAATTGCATGTATGTATAGCCCATGGTTACTATATCAACTTTACGGCAAGTTCACACCAATCTGATTAAAATTAAGTCCGCTGTTAACGTTTAAGTATCCGACACGCCAAAACGCTTTTCGATTTTTCAATTACAACCTTAATCCGGTTGATTGGCTGGTGACGTCACAGGCACTACACATAGGATATACATTATCTATACAATATCTCACTGTATGTACAATATAGCACTATCAATACACACGGCAACTGGACAAGCGTCTATTACCACGTGACTGGCCTAATCATAATCACCGAATTATCGTCTTTCATTGGTATAGATTAGACATTTGTGATTGGAATATTTTAGAGTGAATTTAAAATGCCGTATCATGCCGTAGATCAATTTAAGTTGCCTTTGTTTAAATAGGCCACGTGTCAAATGAAGATGACTCAAGGAATTAGCGCATTTACTGGTAATTTGGATAACCCCGTAATACTTGATATCCCAAACTTAAGTACAGAAATACAAATGGTGCCAGTCATTTGTTGATATATTCATTATTAGCTATATATAATAATAATAACCATTTCTATACATAAAGAACAACTACAGTGAATATGGAATTTTCCGATGACTATGCATAACATGTACAATAGATCGCACTCATTTTTCTGCCAATCAACGCTTGGTATCTTATTATCATGTACCGTTCCATGTACTACGGGTGTAGTAAATGAGGTTAAACTTCGCCGCGAAAATTGCACGGGATCATTCGTGGAGTTCCTGGTGCCGTTTGGTGAGTGATTAAACTGTCAATGCTGTTCTTGTTGTTGTTGTTTATTACAAATTTAACGTCCAATACATAATGCATGATATTGTGGACAGGTTGATTTAATTAAGTTATTTACTTAAATAAAAAATAGAAGTTAGGTAAAAACACTAAATAATAAAAAGTTCTTGTATATCTAAACGTCACTTTAAAACAGATTTAAAATAATTAAAAGTTCTTGTATATCTAAAAATCACTTTAAAACACGGTTTTAAAAATGGTTTTAAAATCATTGTCGTATGAAGAGAGGGCGGGTCATCTTCTCACTTTGTCATAATGAAAGTTAAAATTGGAGATGCAATTGTAAAATATTTTTATTATAAAGAAGATAACCGATGTTAGACATTATAACCTAATCGTATCAAAAACGTTAATCCATCCATCAATTAAATGTTGTTTAAACGCCAATTTACAAATAATACGAGCCTACTTGATTACAAAAACACCGGTGAGCAATAATTATTGGGTATATAGTAATTTTAAACTACTTATTAGTAAAACTTAATTATTTTATACAATTAATGTGTGTGTGTATGATTCTACCATTAGTTCGTTCGTGAGGTATTACGCACACGTTCCACTTAGAGTGATGTCTTTGATCTGGCCGGCCTAAAAAAAGATAATTACCTAATCAACATTCTTAATCCCACTAACACTCACTGCTAACACCAACTTGAAATTAATTTATGACCCATGCCTGTATAACTTTTATAGTCGTATTGATTATAATCAATGACAGATATTAACGACACTACACTTTATGTGGAAAAGCGAAGTGCTCGCAGTAAAAACCACATAGCTGGACCCGTATATTATTTACATATTAAAAGTGTTCGTCCAATATGTTCCATATTGTAAAAAATTAATTAAGAGTTCAGGACTTCAAAGTTTAAAAGTTGTAGACACTCTAAATTGGATCTTAAATTAAAATGAATTACAAAACAAATTATGCCGTAGTCAATTGTTTTATTTAATTAGGGGGATTAAGGAATCCTTCAGGCGTTCAAGAATATACACGCCGGCTGTATATAGGTAATTAAGGAATAAACATCCCGAATATGCATTCGGTCACTGTGACGTCACTGGTGTCTGAGTGTTTTCGATAATTGGCAAAGCCGTTTTTACGGAAGGTCTATTTTTACGACTTTGAGTGAAGATAACTGAATTAATTTCAACCAGATTGGCGTGAACTTGCCGTAAAGTGGATATAGTAACCATTGGCTACACGTATCTCAAAGTTTCCGGGACCATCTTATGTGCACTTTAACTATATTATATAAATAATATATTACCTGGCATATCAGAGAAAAGTAAAATACATTCATTAAAACCATATGATAATAACCGGGCTCGTAGTTGTTGTAATATAGCTACACCTATACACAATGGAAACGAAGAGTTGCCTAGCAACAATGTATCCCATAGATGAAGTATCTTATGCAACGGAAAAACATCTGAAATAAAAAAAACATTATGATTTTTGTCATTAATAAATATTGGATATTTATGTGTACGTAAAATAACACTTGACAATTGGAGTTCAATGCTAGTCTCAAAAATATTTTCCTTTCCCTTAACAAGTTTGTTACAATGGATTCCTCACATAATTAAACAATAAATGATGTCTTGCCTTGGGAAAAACTCATCATAATGGATCTGTATAGAACCAGAGAAACATAAAGATATAGACTGTTCATGATGCTATCTTAACTAGTATATCTATAGTTTTATACTTACGTGCATACATAGTAAGAAACCAAGGAATAGCATACAACTGGAAAACAAATAAATCATAAAACTTTATCATAAAATTTCAAATATTCAAAGAATTTGAAATGGTTATACATTTACATCCAAGGTGAAGCAGTATGGTTTAAAACATATTATCAGTATACGACAGGCATTGTGGGGCAATATGTCTAAAGATATGATATTTCAGTCAAAAACAAATTGGCTTTATTTAAGCAAAAATAGAATTTTTCAGGCAAGAATTACATATTATGGAGCTTATAAAAATCACAGATCTTTTGGGGCAAACTGACTAAATGATTTGAAGAAATCTGTAAGCTCATTTTGAAATATTATGTATCAAATAAACCAGAAATAGAACTATTTTCTACATGTAATATAAACAATTTGTTCCAGAATAAATTACTTACATCAGGAATAAAACCAATACCATCTAAATGATTTCCAAGTTCTGCATCATGGAATGTTATAAGATGTGAGAAAACAGCTAAATATTCTGAAATAATATAATAATTAATGTGACCAGAACCTACATTTTTATACAGGAACATCCAGTATCTCACAGTACCGGTAACAATATCTGATTAGCCACAAAGGTCAAAATAAAAACAGGAATACACCATGAGTGTGCTACAACGGCAGTTTGTACTACTCTTCATAGAATTGCAACTGTCAAGGCTTTTTTAACATACATGTCAAGCGAGATTGGGTGGCGTTGCGAAATTGAGTTAAGTGGCATTGTTTCGATTCCCCGCTTGTATGTGTCAAGTAGGGTTGTCTGTCCAACCTCGTGGGTTTTCTCTGGGTCCTCAGGTTTCCTCCCACTGCTAAAGACCCCTATGCACAAGAAAATTATTGAAATAAAATTGAACTACATGTTAGTCCCGAAATGACCTAGATCTAGTTTGTGTCAAGTGGCCATCGCTGTCTCTGTCCCTGTCTCTGACTCTCATACATGTCAATGTCTAAAAGGGTGGACCTTGTATTTCATCTCATCCAAATTACACTTTTTCCTTGCCAGACCCTCACCATGTCACTGTGTATTAAAAATAATTAACTGTTCATACTTTCTATTCAAAAAGATTGAATATTATTTAACTAACATTTGAAATCAATTTTGCGTCATCATAATCTTGAAATTTCTGATGTTACCATTGCGGAAGTGGGACATTAAATCTTGAAATTAAATTATTTGTGTATAATTGAAAACCAAAAACAAGAATTTAAATATATCTACCTTGTATCACAGCAGAATTATCCTTGAGAAAAAAATTATGTAAATATTTAGGAATGAAGGCTTTTAGACAGGAGTAGGCCAGGGCTGAAAAATATCAACAGACTTTAATAAATCTGTACTTTAAATTACATTCACAAATATCTTAGGAAATAAAATAAAATGGGGTTTAACATCCTATTGTTCTGCACCAACTGGGCTATCGAAGATGGAAAATATCTTAGGGAAGAGGTCAAAGGAATAAAGCTTTAAGGTGCTTTCATGCTGTTAAGCATACTAGAGCTTTTATGTAGCATTATTTTTTTAAAGGATTTTTAAGTGTTTTATACACACAATTTATGAATTAAACTGTATTTAGTGTTTTAAATCTAAATTCTTTGAAATTCTAATTTCAGGTTCTGTAAATTGACTCTAAGTTAAGTTCTCCAGACGATGATTTTACTGACAGTAAATTCTCAAGTCTGACAAATATAACTGAAACAATCTACACTTGTTTCATTTCTATTTTTGTAATGTCAGAGATTTTTTGCCAGCAATAATTTTTTCTTTTCAAAGTTCAAAGGGATGTTTTATGTGCACTACCTAATTGTAAATCTGACCTCAGGTTTTTGTCCCATCTGAATGACTATACATACTTTCCTTCTCAGCCTAGATGACATTTTCCCGTGGAAGCAGACATTAAACACTAATAGAAGAAAAAGGGTTCCAGTATGGAAATACTGCCAATCGTAAAGGGTAGAAATTCACACAAAAAATGTACAATGGGTAAAATGATCATCAAGCAATTTGCTGTTTTTAAGGAAAAATAATTACTTACCTTCCTGATTGAAATTAAGAGCAAGAAATGGTGCACAGAGTGAATCTAGACCTTGCCAGTAGACATATTGTGGATGACTAACAACCCAAGCTTTTAATACACGTTTAAATTTGGCATGTGCCGTGGGTGATGACAGTAGTTCATGATATTGATGGCATCGTGGTATGTCAACCTCTATCTACAATTTAAATATCATAAAACAATATATTGTAAATCATACATATCAATATAGTTGAAACCAGAGCTTTCACTTCAAAATTTGGGCAGCTATTTAATTTCGGACATATTCTGTTTATCTCATATTAGCAAGATATTTTGTCCAAAGAACTTGAAAACTCTGAGTCTTAGCATTATCCCAATGTTTTTATTATGTATCTTAAAGTGTTTTTACAGAACGTAACTACAAATGTAACTGCATTTTGGGGTTTAAAGGAGGTAAACCTCTATTCTTTGGCACCTAGAAATTGACACATGTTGGTCGCAATGCATATAATAATGTAATATGAATGTATATTAACTGATTTACATTCAATCATTTCTGTTTTTATTGTAATTTCTAATCAGTCATGTTTGGCAAAATATGCCAGAAGTCTCAATCGAATGGCAATCTCTAGCGTCTGGTTATTCCAGTCTACACCGGTAGTATTCTCCTGTGGGATATGTTTAGCCTTGTTCATCGATTCTCTTCATTACAAATGGCACACGAAAGCATTCTGGCATGCGCTTAGTGTGCCAATTTTAAAATTTTCATTTTTTCTTAAATATTGGATATCAGATGCCCATTTTTTCACCGTAAGATAACAACATCAAGGTTGATTTAAATGGACTAACAAGTCATGTTTTCAATGTCATTGTCTGTGGATGATATTGAGTTAGAGACTTGCCTTCTTTTAAGGTTAAAATAATTATTCTATGGCATCTAATTTGACTGACAGGGAAGTTCTCCAGCCAGTCAATTCCACAGCAAACATTACTGAATTAAGAGCCCTGATTGGAACCGAGTCACATGACTCAGGAGGCTTGGGGTGCTAGAGAGAGCAGTGGTTTCAGGCAGTCCCAGTGCCAAAGGGTAAATCAATAACTCTTGAAGTACTTTTTCTAAAAATGCTCAAAACAAGCTATTTCTTAGATTTTCAATGCAGTCTACCTACAACATCAATGGGATTATATTAGTGGAATATATCCTACCTGTCTATCTGTTGATGTAGGTGTTTCTTTATCTATATTAATATATTCACCTTCTATATCCCCCTGATAAAAATAACATAGATTTAGTCAAGAGTGCACTGTGCTGATTGCTTGACCACTGAAGCTTTTGTGCGTATAAAATATACAGGCCCCGAGTTCACAAAGCATTCTCAGACTTAAGTTAAGTTCGCCTTATATAGCCCATTATCAAACTTTTGTTGTTTTAATGTATCAAATACACCAATAAGAAATTATATGCAAATTTTGTGTTTCTGGATCAAACATATTTCTCATAAACAGTAATTGAAAGTTGCGTAAATTCTTACTTAAGTCTGAGAATGCTTTGTGAACTTCGGGACAAGTCTTATTATAGCATTACAGTATGTACAGCTCTAGCATACAACAGTAAACTTAAATTATGAAATAATCTTTTTAAAGAGTATAATTTTAAATTGTCATTTCTTACTTCAACTTCCAGAAGTGCCGCCCATACATGTGGTCTTACTAGTGGAGGAATATCAAGTCTTGCTTCTTTCCATATATGGGCACGTTTATGAGGATATCCTTGTAATAATCTTGCATATAAAATAATACGATGAAACTAAAAACGAAAACATAAACAAATATCATGATTGGTACCAAGAGATAACAGAAATTCAATGTGGATGCTGACCTCAAACCAAATCTTTAACAAAATCTGTCTGTTTTCTTGTGCTTAAAGATACTTTCCCGTGTACAAACTGTGATTTGATGATATATTTTGACTAAAAACATATTCAAACTAATCTATCTATCAAAAGTTTGCTTACATCACTTGAGCTGACAGGCTGTCGGTTAGGGACACCCTTACATTTTGTGCCGACCCCTAGAGACACACATATACAAACCCATCTGTGTAAGGCAGTGGACAATAAAACATAAAGAAATAAAAATGATTGAAGTTTCCTCAGCTATACAAAGTGGATACAGCTTTTGGGGGGGGGGGCAGTTAACAATTTTTATGTAATACGTACTTGATATTCTATATCTTTTTCTTTTATAACTAGAGGTAAACTAGCTGTATCTGATAAATCACCACAACTTGGTGATGTTGGTAAACCTAGATTACTATTTATACTGAAAAATATTACATAACATATTATTACATAAATCACCATAACTTATATTACTATCTACACTAAAATATATTACATAAAATATATTATTACATAAATCACTACAATTCGTCGGTAGGCAGACGAAGTGACTTATCTTCCTACCGTAACCTATTGACTATAAATCACTTCGTCTGCCTACCGACGAATTAAGTGATGTTGGTAAAGTGTAAACCTAGATTACTGTTTACACTGAAACATATTACATAACATATTATTACATAACAAGTGGATCCAATAATCGCCAACCATCCTAGTAAATTTCAATAATTTAGTATCCAGTTCATTTTGTGTGAAATAGAACTTATGCCACAGATTTCTCCTAGCTGTTTCAGATATCTCTATAAAATATTTCAAAATGTGTTTAGTCTCTTGCACAGAACAAGTAGGGAATATACAGGACACAATTCTATGGAATACAATTACTATCTATTACTGAGTGACGTATCATATAGGTTTCACTAATAATACAGATATGAAACGAAAATCTGAAACTTACTCATCCTCTAATAAAGGATAATAGGCTTTTTCTTCAATGTCTATTAATCTCTATAAAATATACAATAGAAATTAACTCTTGACATAAGATATACATTTATACATGGCTACAATATATAACAAGATTACTTGAAACACTACTGTTGGTTTCCATTTGTAAAATTAGAGTATATCCAAAGCATCCTAGTTACAGTGTATAATGAATCATTAAAAGTCTGCACTAAGGCCATTTTGATATTATTTTGATATTTTGTTATAAACTTTCTTTTTCAAAGAACGTGCCAATGTGAATTGTGTACATGGAGGAGAAGTGTATGTGCAATGCCAATGTGTATTTTGTACAAAGAGGGACATTTTAAGTGCAATATCAATATGTATTGGGTACATGGAGATACATTTTAAATTCAAAGCCAATCTGTATTGTGTACATGGAGGGGCTTTTTATGTGCAATGCCAAAATGTATTGTGTACAAAGAGGACCATTTTAAGTTCAATATCGGTGTGTATTGGGTGCATGGAGGGACATTTTAAGTGCAATGCCAATGTGCATTGGGTACATGGAGGGACATTTTAAGTGCAATTCCAGTGTATAATGTCAGTTGAATGTCAGTGTGTATTGGGTGCATGATGGGACATTTTAAGTACAATGCCAATGTGCATTGGGTAAATGGAGGGACATTTTAAGTTCAATTCCAATGTGTAATGGGTACATATATGGAGGGATATTTTAAGTTCAATGCCAATGTGTAATGGGTACATGAAGGGACCCTTCAAGTTCAATTCCAATGTGTAATGGGTACATGAAGGGAAATTTAAGTTCAATGCCAATGTGTATTGGGTACATGGAGGGACATTTTAAGTGCAATGCCAATGTGCATTGGGTACATTGGGGATATTTTATGTACAATGCCAATGTGTATTGAGTACATGGTGGTTGACTTTACAAGTACTGTGGATGTGTATTGTTCTGTGTTAATGTGTATTGTTCTGTCAATGTGTATTGTTCTATGTCAATGTGTATTGTGTACATGAACGGATATCTTAGGCTGACCTTAAAAATATCTTTGTTTCGCCTAACGCGACCGACTAACTAAAACCACCCCCGACTTAAATTATTTTATTGCACTTTTCCACGATCTTTTTATTTTATTTTGTGTGTCAACCTGAAATATATCACGAGAGTTATTTCCCTTTACTATGGCTATGGTTGATTCATTATTGAAACTGGTTGATCAAGACGAAAGCGTCATAGGTGTCGCTTCTCAACAAAATGGTTGCAGACGAATACACGTCCATTCCTACGAAATGATTCTGCTTCTATGTCTGTGGTGCGTAGTTTTAAACATAACGACGATATTTTCAATATCCGTTTTCGAGAAAAATGAAGGCACAACCCGCACTATCGTTAAAAACGTGTTGAAGGAGTTTCACACTTCAAGTTCGTGGCAAATCGTGTGCGAGTCGGGCATCACGAAAAATTCCCGATGTCATTGATTTTTTTGCCAATTGAATAAAGAAGACGAATGTTTCCACCCGGAAAATTATTAAGCTGTCAAATTAGCTCTTAAGTTTAATAAAAAAACTTTCAGTTCGTTACTTTTTACGTCAGACCCCAAATTCATTAAACAAAATTAATGAATCTGTAGTATACAGCTAATAAGTTTTCTGTATTGATTTCTCTAACTTTAAAAAAAAAATCTGAAAAAAAAAACGACCTACCGACCCTTCTCCTCGATTGTGGGTCGGGTTTGGTGAAACAAAGATATTTTTAAGGTCAGCCTTATGTGAAAGCTAATGTGTGCATGGAGGGATGTTTTACATGTACTTCTAATGCATAAATAAATAAATAAAAATATTTACATTTCTAAGTTGATCTTGAGAGAGTATAATGAAAGTTTCATCTAGTAATTCAGCTTGATCTCGTTTATGACCAAATACTTCACCTTCAACAGTACTACATCTACAAATAAATATAATACTTTAAAATAGTTATTCTACACCTTTAAAACAGGATATTTTGTCTTATCAATATGTATAAATGATTAGTTTCACCCTTTTGATCGCTCCAAAGAAATACTGGCCTAGATTGGCTGTAGTGTTCATTCAATTAACAAAGTTTCATTATCATCATTGTTTTCTATACTTACAATGGTAATAAAGTTATTGGAGGATATGTTTTAATCAGTCCGGCTTTTCTTAATGCTGGTTCTAATTCACCTCCAGCTAATCTCCATAAATAATATACTTCTTCCATAGATCTCTGTGATAGGTGATCTTCATCTATATATAATACACATATAATACATTTATACTGTCAATCATAATTTTCATCAGGGTTTTAACTTTGTCAAGGGTGAAGGACGGGGGACTGACAAGGACAGCTGTCTAGTCATTCGAATGGGATGAAAAACCGAGGTACGGTGTACACATTGTCATGCATTTAAAAGATCCCTTAGCAGTTGGAATTTGATATAAGAGTAGGCCGTAGCATCGCTGTCTGGGCGCAATTTCCCTCATAACACACTGTATGGCATATGCCCATCTTCATTAGTCGAATCAGAGCAGAACAGTAGGACATTAAACCACATTTCATTTATGTCAATCATAGTTTTATCATTCTACTAATTTAATGTGATTTCTAAGGACTGGACTGATGAGTTTTTGCAGAAAAGTATGATGTTTAATCCCATTTCATTCATTCCTGAACTTAAAAAACAGAGAGAGAGAGAGAAATGGGGTTTAACGTCCACTCGACACAAACTAGGTCATTTCGGGACTAACATATGGTTTAATTTTTTTATTTCAATAATTCGCTTGCGTGTAGGGGTCTTTAGCAGTGGGACGAAACCGGAGGACCCGGAGAAAACCCACGAGGTTGGACAGGCGAACCTACTCCTTGTAACGTACAACTTAAAAAACAGAAATCAGATCTTCAGCAGAATTTTTCATAATGACTGACATGATCTCACAGCCTCAACTAAAGATATGATCGAAGGGGCTCCTTCTGTCCATAATTTTAAATCTGATATTTTGTATATGATATATATAATACATATACTTACCTAGAATAGTATTTTCATCTAGTACAGGTAATTGTAAATCTAATGATCTGGGTACAACTGATAATAAATTATATGTACAACCATTTTTATATGGTACCTGGAACAAATTATGTACATTTCAATCTTACAATTAATTTTTGTTAAATCAATCTTTCATACACATACATTATGCAAGAGCTAAATCTGATTATTGCAAGTCTTTATTTAGGCTTCAGATGTCATAGAAATTATAAATTAGATCTTTATTTACACAACAAGCACAAAATCAACTCCATAGACCCACGGATGGCTTGGATTCGCTTGGATTTAAACAGGATTTCGTTGATTGATTAAATTTTTAAATGGCGTCGTAAGCGGAGATTAACCGTTACGTTGACGTCATACTCCCGGAAATAATTTTAGATCGAGGCTAAATGATAGATTGTACGAAGCGAGACCGCTGATGAGCGAGATCGCATGTCAGTCAATTTGATTGAAAGTTCGATATACATGTATACGGCCTTGATATTATGTTTAGTTGTTAAAATGAGAGTTTGGATGTCGGTATTACAGGCTACACTCTTTTGTCACTTGCGTTTACAGAAAAATTATAGAAATTGATAAACATCGCAGCTAACATCACCCCAGTTGAATTGCAGCTCCATTGGATCACTGTTCGGGAGTTACGCTGGCCTACCAGTTACAGTACAAGAGTACACGCAGGCTAACAAGAAGTCGGGTATAATTATGCCTCCTTGATTTGGTCCATTCTTATCTATATATTAAAAGTCTTATTTTTAATTTGTAGTAAAAATAAATGTGATACGAATTGAATTGCAACCCCGTCTCAAAACACAGCCATTGAAAACGTTACTTGATAATCGAGATTATGTAGGTGGAGTTAACACCTGTCAATCAAACGATCGTCTATTCTCGGAGACGGTGTAGAGAGAATTGACTCCCATTTCTAGTCAAAAATTACAATAGTGATAACTTTGTTCAGAATAAAGTAATTTGACTGAAATTTTCAATATATTCTTCTTTCATCATATATTTTTGAACTGTTATAGCAAGAATGGCCAACTCTCTATTAAAATCTCCCATAATGTATCTTTAAGTAATGTACAGAATCAAATATACGACTCCTAGTCCAACTCAAATACATGTTTGTTAGTGAATCAAGAATAGGAGAGAAAATACTTTATGACACAGTCTATATTTAAAGAAGCATTATGTAAGATTTAGCTAAAGAGCTGGTCGTTCTTGCTATAATAGTTCAAAAATAGATTATTAGCCTTTAAAGGTTTGACAAGATGTGTGCACTGATTGTAACTACCGTACAGGTTGTTCGAGGCTTAGCCTCACTTCAACATTTTTAAATTAAATCATTAAATGGCCAAACCATTCTAATCTACTTAAAATCTGACCCACCCAATGGCACAGAGAGTTGATTAGGGTCTTGTCATGTTAATAAATGTCTAATTAATAGTTTATATAGTATTTAAGGCCTAAAGAAAGACCTGCAATAGGTAGATTTACCTCTTGTACAATGTCTGTTTAATTGATAAATTTCTGGCAGAATTTCGATAGCCTGGTTTACAAATAGTTATATTGGATAGTGTAAATTTTCTGGAACTGCCAGCAATATGGGGATTATTGGTAATATGGGGTTCTCATTAGAGAAGTTTTGAAAATCTACGATTTAAATTGTTGTGACCTGAGTATGTGTTAAAACTTACCTCATTTAAATTAAGCTGTTTAAATATAACATGTTGTTTTAATTCATTGCTGGTTGGTCGAACTGATGGAGATATTGTTAAACATAATCGTAGAAAATCTAACATCTCCTTAGACAAATCCTGATCAAAATGAAAAATAATTGTTTCCAATAACATATCAAAGAATATTTTCTTTCCCTAATTACCTTAAGATGCAAGATAGATTATAAGTTTATTTATTAATTTATTTATCTTTTTTTTGCAGAATAAAATTAAGAAGAAGCAAGTAATTAAAAATGTTTGAATAGACAAAACCTTTAATTTATCTTGATATTTTCCCTCTTCAGCCAAATAATCTAATGGATGTTTTCCTGAAAGTCAAATACGTTTAAATAGAAAATGAATGTAGAACAAGACAATTTTGTGGCATAAAATTATTACCATTGGCCTTATGGCAATGTTATTATGGCATTAAAATTTTGCAACTGGCCTTATAGCAACACAATTGTGGCATTAAATTATTGTGGCATTAGATTATTGCAAGAAGTCATAGTCATAATTTCACACAGGGAGAGAAATAAAATGTCGCATGATAATATGCACACAATTATAGAAGAAAGTTTGTGATTACCTGATTGTAAAAGTTGTAAAAGTTTATGCGAAATATCTCTAATGGATAAATCACTCCAAATTTCTTCTTTCTATACAATAAATAAAAACATTATAAGATGAAAATTCTTGCATAACATTATTTTAATCCAACTAGAATTAAACCATGTCAAAACGTAAATTGAAAACAACTGTAAACTAATGAAAATACAATATTCCCCATGACTGAATTCTCCTCACGATACAAAATGGGTTATAAAACCCTACTTTTCTGCAACAAATGGGTTAATAAGTTGGGAATATGGTACATGACAAGTCGCGTTTCTATTGCCAGTCTGCATCAGTGACAGAGCGAAACCAGACTAGAAAATCTCATGGAACTATCTCGGCAACACTGGGTTAAAAAAACCAGGGACCTTCTAGTTAGGCAGGAGTTCCAGATCGAGAAATGTGGTTTAAAGTCCACTTTATATATCATAAATATTGGCAGGACTAACATGATGTATTGCCTGCCTGCCTGCCTTGAGAGAGAATCTTAAAAGGGTTAACAAGTAACCTTAACCGCACCCTGGAAAATTGAGAATTCTATGAAAATTTACAGAATTAAAAACTTACAAGGAATATTTGAAGGAGAACGATACCAAGAGACCAACAATCAACTTTAGGTCCAGATGGAGGTGACAGACATTTTTCTCGATTATCATCCACCATTACAGGTCCTCCACAAAATACTTCTGGTGATGTGTACTTCATTTTCCTTAGGAAATAATCAATTTTAAATAAATATAAAAACTAGTAAAGACAACAATTTTTATATCTTCAGCCTTTCCATACCAATCCAAAGTAATGAGTACAAAATATTAATGAACAGAGTCATTCTTCTGTTTGATACACATACATATTAAAACCGGGCTTTCATTTCAAAATTTGACCAGTGGTCAATTTTTGACCTATTTTGTTTTACCCAAGACTATTGAGATATTTTTTTATATATTCTTAATTAAATTTACACATAAAAAGGTATAAATCTAATTGTATTTATTGTCTTTTAAAGTAAAATTCTTTGAAATTCTGATTTTATGGCTTGTATTTTGATTGACAGGTATGTTCTCCAGATGGTCAATTTCGCTGCCAGTCAGTCAGTACCAACAAATATGAGTCCTGTATTAAACAAAGAGTATATTCACCCAATGGGAAAGGAAACGTCTGCTCCTTCATCTGTCATATGATATAAACCAAACTCAGACAATTTGACTTCATTCTACAACAAGAAATAAATATACATGTAATAAATATAAATAAACATGGAACTATTGTGGACAAACCATCAAGGTCCAGTGCATAACAGTGGCAGTTCTTTAAAGATCCCTTAGCAGTTGGACAACAAAATAAGAGTAGGCTGTAGCGCCACTATCAGGGCAAAGTTCCATAATAACACACTGCATAGAAAATACCTGTCTTCATTTGCCCGGACGGTGTAGAAAAGAAAGGTCTTGAACCCAATTTCATTTCATTCATCAATGATAGAGAGTTCACTGGTTATCCAAGTCCTAGCTTGTCAATTTCCCCAAAATTCAAAGGGATAAAATTGGGGTATCTATGTTTATTTTTCTGTCAATTCTGTGGGGTTTTTTAAACATGAATTGATGAAAACAGGAAACATATTTCTTTAAGCCAGATGTTTTAATACAAATCATTGGGAGTAGAATGTTTAATATAAAATATGATAAATGTTACCTGATTGTTCAGTAATATATTTTTAAGAGCTAGATTTCTGTGTGTTATATTTTTATGATGTAGATAAACTAGACCCTGTAAAATCTGATGAGCCAAACCCACTAACTTCTTCTCACTAATAAAACAATAAAATATTAATAGATTAGATATTCTTGCTTCAAGATATATCAATTATTGTTATAAGTATGACTATGTTGGATTATTTTATAGGGTTTTTTTTTGTTGTTAAATGTCTGATATCAAAAACAAAAATGCCAAATCACAAAGCTTTAAAAGGAAAACTCAATGTTAATATTACTATGATTATAAACGCCCAAAATCATAATGGTTATAAAAAATAGTTGCTTGGTTGAAAAATAAAGAAAGAGGCATTTAAAATAGAAGATTTTATGGATTTAAAATACAATGCTAGAAGCAGTGGCACATGTTGACCACTAAACATGAAAATCTTTGGTCATTTGAAATTTTCACATTGTTTCACATTCCTTTACTGTAGTGTTTGTCAAAACCCATTAACTTTCTAGGGAAAGAAGTAAGGTTAATAACTGCACTGTCAGATGTTTGCAGTAACCTCTGGAGATCCAAATGTGATTGGTTTGTCATTAAATGTATGTGTCCGGAGTCCTGTAGCAGTTACCTTGAAAACTCTCCTGATTCAACAAAAGTCTGTAGATTCTGTCTGTAATGCTCTGATACAATTATGAGGCGTTCTAGAAAAAAAAACCCAATAAGATCAAGATAAATCATATGACACACAAAAAAAAAAAAAAATCAGGATATACTAAGTAAAACAAAAATTAAAAATCATAGAATATCTTATATCTTTGTTAGCTAAAAGTGTATAGGGCATTCTTTAAAAAAAGTTAAATTTTAAAAAAGTCACTAGTGAAACCCTTCAATGCGTGATAATTCAATTACATGTCAGTGTTTCAGTAGCCCACATTCTGATCTATTACCGTTGAATTAAAAAAATAAAATATAACTACCATGTTTTGTTCGAAGGATATCCAGATATTTACACAAACGGGGATGATGAAGAGTTTTTAAACCCTGAAATCGCCCCAAAACTTTTATTGAATTTGGAGTCAGAGGTAAACCATTGGCACCACATTTATCATTTGGATGACTAGCAGCAAAAAATGTTTGAACACCAAACTCAGCCTTCCCTAGAGCTGTCATTGTTGAATTAATAAATCATATTACAAATTCATTTTGTCCTGAAAAAAATAATAACATTGATTTAGTAAATAAATAGTAATCAGTCAATCATACTGTTTAACAAGGCTGTTAAAACTTAGAAATATACATGACATATCCTCCCTCGCCAGAATGACTAGTAGTAGTTATAATTTATACCCCGCTTTGTTAACTTTGTTTTGTGGGCCTACTTTGTTAATGACGACAGAAATCATTTGCCAATGCCATAAGTTTTATCTGTTAATATGGTATAGTTTTACATGATATGACAACATATTTTTACATTCAGAAACACATAATTGATCGGATAAAACAGTGGAATATCAATCTTACTCATCAGTACAGTGAACTAATAAACAGAAAAATACACAACTACTAAATATAAAGTAAAAGTAGAAATTTGCCGACAAAATTGCAACACTTCGGATTTTTTTCTAAAACAAAACTTCAATCTATCAAGTTTAATATGGAGTTTGAAACTGCGCCATCATCAAGACTATGGCTTAAACTAAATTAGTTGATAATTTTATTCATAATTGACAAAAAACGATGAATATTTACCAAAAATATTATTCCTCCCACTAATTATTCCATTAGAGTTACCCCACTTTCTTCACTCTTCAACTGAAGAAGTCCATTAAATATAAACATCCGTTTTGACTAAAAATAAACAAGTACTTGTCGGCGAAAATTATTTACCTACAATATATGTTGATACGAGTGATCAGGTTAAATATTGATATTGTTATTAGGTTTTGCTAAAGTTGAGAAGTTAAACCAAGATACGGTAAATCCGTAACTGGTATAAAGGAAACCCTTAGCCGCTTAGCTTACTGAATTTTACCATAAGTTTTGTCGGGTCGTCTACTTTCGATTTACCACGTGTCTGTCATACCATATGTCAGACATGTACGTTCACAAATAATACATCTTTCAAAACGGAAATTACCCATATATGTTGAACTAAATCAGAACATATTGCTATTCAAGATCCGATCTCTAGCCCTAAATATTAGATAGTCAGGTCATAATGATTAGTTCCAGGAACAAACGCCGAACTGTCTCTGAGTCTGATCAGTATCAGACGCTTTCCTCTGACTGTACCTGATCCTGATCAGATCCTCCCTATTGAAATTGCGATATGAATATACCGCTCTGTCCCCACCTTTGTTCTAAGGCTATTTTGGAATCATTACACTATTGGCGAGTAGAATTTTTCATAATGGCAGACCACTTCAAACGTATTTTGTTTATGTTTTTTAGTTGTAAAATTCTACTTGGAAATATTGTTGAATTATTATAAATTCGTATCATGTAGCGAGAAATTATTCCTTTTGCAGAGAAAAGAAGAATCACAGTGAAAAATAAAGATAAAGATAACGATTCCAATATAGCCATAGAAATTAGAATAGAGGTCGGGGTAGAATGGTATTTTCATATTGCAGCTTAGGGACGATCAGGAACAGAGGACAGCGTTCGATAAGAGACTGTTCCTAAAACTAGTCAACCATGATTGCCAATATACACCATTATAGGGGCAGCAATAAAATGTACTGATACCTATGTGATCAATTAAGTGCCATATCATATGTGATGTGGCAAGATCCTTAGCTGTTATTTTGTATGTATGTTTATGATTTACTATTACAGAATGGCTAGTGAAACCATATTGCAGAGATTGAAGCAAAAAGCTGAATTGGCGGATAAAATTACTGTAGAATTAAATTCAAAAATAGAACAGCTTAAAACCGCAGCAGGTATCAATTTTCCAAATTAATCACATATTCTTAATTAAAAAACCACAAGCAAATTAAATTGTATTTAAAATTAAATGATAAATTTGAGTTTTAAATTACTTAGTGGTCAAGGTTTGAATGATTAAAGGTTCAGTCTCTCTTATTTTAACAAAAAATTCCCTTTCCAATTAAGGTACAAGTTTTACTCGGTTTAGAACTACCCCATGGTTTCAAGCAAGCTTCATCTAATTGTGGTCATGAATGGCCGAGAATTTAAAAATAGCACTTAAAATTTGAATGGCACTAATGCATCTTTTTCTCATTTGGCTGAGAAATAAGACTTCAAATGAACCATCCACAAGAGACCCTGTGGGGTGTCCTTCGGCACTAAGGGGTATAAAAATTATGAAAATTACAGTTGGTGAAGAGAAGACCGGCCCCACAACAGATAAAGTTTTTATTATTTTATATAAACCATATTTTATTTCAAATGGATGAAAAGGGATCAGAAAACAGACATAGCCTATATATTGGCTATTCCCGTACAAGGAATGTGCAATGTATTATAAACAGATTTGCTATGTACATTTTATGACATAAAGAGAAACAAATAAAATCAGATAACGGAAATCTATGGCATACACCATTTATAACAAAAGAAAAAGAAATGATGTTAGTTTTTGTGTGTCTACTGTCTTGTTACAAGCATTTTTTTTTTTCAAGTTTAAAGGAGCTAAATCGCTAATATTTGGGACCTAGAAATTGACTCATGAATCGCAACGCTTATAATAATGTAATATGAATGTATATAAACTGATTTACATTCAATCGTTTCTGTTTTTACTGTAATTTCTAATCAGTTATGTTCGGCGAATACGCCAGAAGTCTCAATCGAATGGCAATCTCTAGCGTCTGACTATTCCAGTCTACACCGATAGTATTTAATGAGCATGCTCTCCAGGTAATATGGCGTCACCGTTTGACATGACTTGTGGAATATGTCTATAGCCTCGTTCTTTGAGTCCCTTTTGTACCAATGGTAAAATGCTTATTTTATATTAAATATTGGATATCAGAAGCCCATCTTTTCCCAGTAAGATAACAGCATCAATGTTGATTTAAATTGACAAATAATTCGCGTTTTCAATGTCGATGACTTTGGATGATATTGAGTTAGAGACTTAGCTACTTTAAGGTTTAGTAGAAATATGCTACTTTTCCGGCTTGCAAAATGACCAATGGGTCAGATCTATCTTCTTTGATTGACATACTGTAATTGAATGTCGCTTAGTATTAAACTCAGTAATTGTGTATCCATAAAATTGTACCTTGGGTCAGATCTAGTTTCAGTCACTTTGCATAGTCCTCGGTCTTGACCAGCATGTACGACTGTGTGACTGTCCTTGACCCAATTAAACCCAATCGGCATTTCAATATCATGTTGTTTTGTGGCTTCTTATTATGTGCTAAAAATAGCACCACTTTCTCCGTGTGAAAAATGACCGGCTGGGAAAATTTTGAAGTGGAAGCCCTGCATGGAACCCATGGGTTTTACCCCAATCAATCAAAACAGGGTCTGAACCATCCCAACTTTCTCCTATCACTGATGGGAATTAGATTAATTATTCAGTTATTTATGATTTTAGTTCAAGCAAACAGTAAGGGAGAAGAAGATCAACTTAAGAAAGAAAATGCAGTATTAAAAGCTGAAATAGAAGAGATAAAGAGACAGATAACTCTAGCAGAAATTAACAATGGAGGTAATTGTCAGTTAAATATGAAACCACTAACAGAACACTGAATGTTCCAATAAAAGGTCGTTAATAATATATCTCGGCTACATATTCTATTATTTAAACTTTGTGATAAGTATAACCTTGATTTTTTTATTATATTTACTGTTTTCATACAAACTTTTTTAAAGTTAAACAAGTTTTTCTGCCGCATCACACACCAACGGCACCACTAGTAAATGGAGTAGTTAATGAAACAAAGGAATCGAGTCCAGCACTAGCCAAAGAACCGGAAGTCAATAAAAATAAGAAACAAGAAAATACTGCAAAACAAGCAAGTAATGGTAGGTGGTAATGATTCTATAAAATTTGTCTGGAGAACGCAGGTTCGCTACCGTTGTTGCCGAGAAAGTTCATCTGGATTTTCCGGCGTGGTTTCTTCTTGTCAGTGGTGCAGGATGGAGGGCCTGACAAGGACAGCTGTCTAGTCGTTTGGATAGGATGAAAAACCAAGGTAGGCCAGGTGCCACTATGAGGGCATACTTTCCTTCATAGTACACTGCATGGTGTATGCCCGTCTTCGTTAGACCATTTGGTGCAGAAAATTAAGACTTTAAATCACATTAAAATTTCATCTGTGACAGTACTCAGTTCTTTTCGTTCAGAATTTTCTGGACTGACAATCGAGCACCCCATAGCTTAAGAGTTTTCACAGAATTTCTTGACACTTATGATTATGTACTTTGTGAGTTTTCTTTTAAAAACTAATACCGATTTCTTTCAAAAACACAGAATTTTTACATTTCTAATTAGTATTTACCTCTGTCGAAAAAAAAAAAATACATTTTACTTTTGTTTGGTTTTGTAGATCAACCGAAGGAAGGGAAACCAGCAAAGGAATCGAAACCCAAAAAAGAAGGCAAACCTAAAGCAGCACCAGCAGCAGATGAAAAGATGGATATATCACGTTTAGATCTACGTATTGGTAAAATTATTGATGTTAAAAAACACCCAGATGCTGACAGTCTTTATGTTGAGGATGTGGACGTGGGAGAGGAGAGAATACGAACTGTTGTTTCTGGCCTGGTAAAACATGTTCCTTTAGATCAAGTAAGCGATTTTGAACTTTTCTGAAAGTCTTTTTTTTTTAAGTTATAATTTATTGACAGCAATGTTCTATCTAATGTTAAATATACATTATGGGAGATTAGATAAAGAGCTGGCAGTTCTCACTATAATAGTTAAAAATTTCAGTCAAATTGATCCACTCTGAACCAAGATTTAGCGATTGAATTTTCGGCCTAGCCTCAATCATAAGTACTAAAGTCGGTACGATAAAAAACATAGTCTCGATTATCCATTTCATGATTAAAACCTGAATGGAAGTCGAACAGCAAATCGGAACCTAATCCAATAAACATAACAGGCTAGCAATGACATCAAGAGTTGATTATGGTCTGAATAAGTTCATTATATTAATGTCTAATTAATAATTTAGATAACATTTCAGGCCTAAAGAAAGACCTGCAATAGGCAGATTAGCTTTTGCATAATGTATGTTTAAGTAATTAGTGTACAAAAAATCTTATCGTATGCAAGTCTCATTCTTATGTGTGCCAAAGCTATGCCCCTGAGGAAGATGGTATTGCAATTGTAATTTTGTATTGTGTTTTGAAGTTAATTTCTTTGAAATTCTAATTTTATGTCATATATGTAAATTGATTGACAGGTAAGTTCTCCAGATGGTCAGTTTCACTGTCAGTGAGTCAAGGCTAGTAAATATAACTAAAACAAGATCCCTTTTTGAATTTTAGATGCAGAATAGAGTAGCTGTATTTATGTGTAATTTAAAACCTGCTAAGATGCGAGGTATATTATCCGAGGGGATGATCATGTGTGCCAGTACACCAGAAAAAGTAGAAATTCTGGTTCCACCAGCAGGTGTAGTTGTGGGTGAAAAAGTTACATTTAAAGATTTCCAAGGTAAAAACATTATTAGGAAGTCTGAAAGCCTATTGAGATTACTAAAATTATTATTTATTTTTATTAATATTTTTTTTTTTCGCTGGAGCCTATTTCTCAGTGCCTGTAACAGATACCGATATGGGACCTAATTTTCTATTGGGAAACCATGTGGTGGCTACTTGATAAACTATTTTTGAAACTTCGGCGCAGAGCGGAAGTGGCCGAATTTCGTGCGGTGCCAAAAAATTAAAAAACGGCCGTAGCTTCGTCAATTCTGTACCTATTTTCATACAAATGACATTTTCAGAAACCCTGAGTCTTTTGTCGGACGATAGCAGTTGAAAATTTCGAAATTTCGAAACTTCGTCGCTGACTTCTAGCGTTCGAAAAATGAAAAATTTTGTTTAACAGACAATTTTTGTTATTTTTCAAATTTGACCTACATTTTTGGATACCTGGCCCCGAGTTCACAAAGCATTCTCAGACTTAAGTTGAGAATTTACTCAAACTTGTTCACCTTATTTGAACTAAAATATAGCCCTTAATAATAATTTTGTTGTTTGAATGTATGAGATACATCAATAAGAAACTATGTGCAAAGTTTTGTGTTTCTGCATCAAAGATATTTCTCATAAACAGTGATTGAAAGTTGAGCAAATTCTCAACTTAAGTCTGAGAATGCTTTGTGAACTCGGGGCCAGAAGACCATCCGATTCTAGAAATATAAGTTTCATTCCGAGTTATCACCCTTTATTTTTCGATTTTTTTCGAATTTTCTGCCCATTTCCCAACCCTTATATATTTGGGAAAGGATAAATCGATATTTCTGAAAGTCCTGGAACATAAAGCTATATAGTCAGACCGCTGGATAAAGCAATTTCAACAACGGTCCGGTAACCGGAAGTAGTCGAAATAATGTCTGATATTTCGAAAAAAAATCAAAAAATGGGTGTTTTGGGGAAAAACTCGATTTCTCCGTCCAATATCAATGGATTAAACGAATTAAGCTTTCTTTGAGTGGCCCGAGGAATGGACTGTCGTATGATGCCCAATTTATACGGATACTATGACCAAGCAGCAATATATGACAAGCTGAAAAGTGATTACTATGCCAGATTTCACCGAATCAAAACAACTAAAGTGTCATTGGATAGTTCGAACAATGGACAATCTTATGAGATCTAAATGGTAAAAATTCGCGGGTTAGGCAATATATAATGGAACGCTGAAAATCTATTATTTTCCTTTTTGGAGCCTATTCAGACGCTTTTATTTCGAAAACTTCTCTTATTTCCTTTCTTAAACTTCTGTTACTTAGAGTCCTAACGGTGGTCTATGGTGTGAATCCAAATTTAAAAGCCTCAATATAGTATAAATGGTCCAAAAGGGCCACAATCTTTGAAAAGAAGTCGAAAAATCGTTATATCTGTAAATCTGCTTCTAATGGTATAAGGGAGGTAAAACTGTCCAATGGATCTTTCTGAAACTTCTGGTACAGGAAATTAAGTTCCCATACCACTTGTTAAATCTATCCCGATAATGATCGGTAAACAGGAAGTAGTCAAATAAATATTCGATATTTTAAAATAAAAGACAGTAAATAAAATTGGTGCTCTTGCAACAATTGGGATTTCACCGTCGGGTGTGACCGGATCAAAACATCTAAAGTATCGTTTGGTAGCTCGATAAATGGGCTATTGTATGACACACTTCCTGTCTGATTCCTGAAAGCCGGTTCAGTGCTGCTTGCAGGTCTAGTTCTAATTATTATAGTTGACACAACTGGGTACTGATAATTATATGTTCTTGAAGCAATGGTTATGAACAGTATTAGCTCTGCTAATTGCTTGTTACCATTGCTTTAGGATCTGAAAGGACTGGAGTTTAATACTAGTATCTCATCAACATGATGCTTTAGTCATTTTGAAACTAACACAGGTTATGTTTCTGTATGGTCACATGTTCAAACCTTCCGGGAAGAATTTTTCCCAGACAGCGTTTCTGTCTACTCTTCATCAAATTCCAAATGTCACAGTTTCTTTTAATGCACTTCTGTCCAAACATCTTGGCAACACTTTCTTTGTCAGCTACCTATGGCAAGAGGCAACCAGATTTACATCTCATGGATCTTCTTGACCCACAAGCCAGGATTTGAAAACTATGCTGTTACCCTTCAGCCCCACATTGCTATATCTGTTTTATTGGGAATTCAGCTTCTTACAATGCATATAAACATTTTGGAATTGAACTACTTTGTGTGATTTTTTTTCAGGTGTACCAGATACTCAACTTAATCCTAAAAAGAAAATCTGGGAAACTTTAAAACCTGAAGTGAGAACAAATAATCAATGTGTAGCTACATTTAGAGGCTGTCCATTTACTGTAGAAGGAAAGGGTGAAGTTAAGGCACCAACCCTAGCTGATGCTCAGATATCCTAGTTAAACCAACTAGTAATATTATTAACATTGTTGCAGTGAGTGAATTAAAGACAGTCTTTCCTCTAATAATTCTTTGTTCATTTTGTTTTAAAGAGATTTGTTGGAATTATTTGTGTAAATGTTACAGTATATCTTGTTGGTTTAACATTATGACATATTTTAATCCCATTCAGATGAAACTTAAAACTATGGATGAAGGATCAAAAGATTCTGGATGAGTAAAATTTCGGTGCACTTCATATCACAATTTCTTGAGTTATAGCCCATGACTTTTATGCATAATGTGTAACAAAAGTTTGTGGAGCATGAAAACTATCGATTTTCATTGTTCTCTGTTTGTTCGTCTGTCAGGGATGAACACTGTTGACTTATTCGATGATAAGCATTGGGACAGTGAGAGGATGAGTCCTATTGAATTTCCCTGTTCTCTGTCCATCTCGAACAAAATGCTTGTTACAGTCTGCAGTTGTTTACAGATTCTTTTTTCAAATTGGTTGTGAAGCATTGCTAACATGATACGCAGTATGTTCTGCACCACTGACTGAGAGAGAAACGGGGTTTACCGTCCACTTGACACAAACTAGGTCATTTCGGGACTAACATATGGTTCAATTTTATTTCAATAATTCGCCTACTCGTAGGGGTCTTTAGCAGTGGGAGGAAACCGGAGAAAACCCATGAGGTTGGACAGTTGACCCTACTCCTTGTCATGACAACCGGGGAATCGAAACCACGCCAGTTGACTCGATGACAGACCTTATGATACAGCTCGCACTCACTAACCATTCGTCCATCTTTTAGAGAATAGACAAAATATATAACCTTGCTCATCATGTGAATGTAATGCAAAAGGATAAACGTCTCGATGGCCTATAATAACTGAACTGAAATACACGTAAATTAATCACTAGAGTATCCTAGTATCTTTTACAATGGGGATGACTGGTCGTTTATTATAAGGACGCCCTTAAATCATAGACTGTCACAGATGCAGAAAATGCTTATTATTCACCCAATGAATATATACACAAAGGTAAACATTCCATTAGAAGATATGGAAGTTATTGTGTTACATAAGGCATAACACAGAAAAACAGATCAACGCATTTAAATAGTCTCCCGTTCCAGACAGGGAACAAAAATACTAATAAGACAAGCACTATGTAATTATCAAATATGAGTTTATTGATGAACTAGGATGGATGGAATACAGAAGATAAAACAGATGAATAGATAGAGAGAAAGAAAAACAAATACATGTAAAACATGAATAATGGAGTATGTACAATAATATAATGTATACATTTAAATAATAGATCAAACTTCAACTGGATTATAAATACAGTAATCAAACCAGCAGGACTGTAAGTCGTTCAGAAACAGGGAAAAAAAACAGTTAATTTTTCTTAATATGAGACAATAAATTAGATTAAATTACAATCAACATTAATTTTTACATCTCAACTATTAATTATCATTGACAGAACACATTTTTTACCATTTTTAATTTATTTACCCTCTGTTTGAACTTTCACAACCGTTTTTAGCTAGTAGTGTAAATAGCATTGCATTATATATTTTTCTCAGCAATAGTCATCTCAAAAATAGAAATTTATTATTTGGCAAAAATGGTTATCTATCATAGAATAAGAAAAAAAAAGATTCTCAGCAGATTTAGTAAGTTAGACTGGTCACACATCAGTTTTCTCATGAAACAGCATCCTCAATAGCTACTTTTAATAAAAACTGAGCTTGATCACATGATTTGATCCTCAAATTGATTATTAAGAGATGCTATCGAAGATGACTTCCTACATGAAAATATCCAGTTTGTGACCAGTCTTATACAAAGCTTTACAATTCTCAACATGCGAGATGTTTCGTGTGTTTGGATTGCGATCAATCTTGAAAATCACATAAAGGTTTTACTTGTTTATTTATATAACAAGAATGGAGTTAATTATTTACATAAGTATATACAGTTGATATATTAAATATACAATGATGAACAAACCAGGTTTTTAATATGAACAGATTACTATAAAATATATATCATATACAATTAATATATAATTTGAACATCGACAACAACCAACTTTATAATTCTAATTTTGTTTCTAGATTAATTCAAACTTTGTTGACTTGTTTTTTTTCCGTTATAACTGTATTAAATGTTATTATCCAGATATATTATTATTAATAAATTAATGTAAGTCTATAATTCTTGATCTGTGGATTGAGACCAACGAAATTAATGTACATCGAAATATGTAAATAGCACAATGTTTTCGAAAATATGAAAATTACTCAAATACACTTTCTATATTCAAAATTAATATTCTTACGAAATAAGTTCTGCATCTTCTAAATTAGACAAACTTGCATTCTATATATAACGAAATTATGGTTCACATGATATTTAGTATACATATATATCTAGGTCCACATCAAAATGATCTGTCGTCAAATATTAATGAATGGATTGGGGGTCAATACATATTACATAATATAAATAACTATTAAACATCTCATTTTCACGATAATCCAACCATTAATAACAACAAGAACATTCACGAGACTGACTTGCTACCATAGTTGAGTAGTCTAAGGTTTAAAGCACCATTATTTATAACAATTTTATACAGGATACAAATACCAACATTTGATCCACTTTGTAAATATGTCCTATAAAGCAAGTAATTAATGCTTGTTTTTATTAATGCTAAAATTGCTATTGATCTCTGAGAGCATTAATTTCATATCACATTTAGTTGTAATAACACATAAGAAAGATTGCAATAATTTCTTGCAGCATTTTAGTCAACCTCAAACCAATAGCATTAATTTCATGCAATTGACAATTTTTACTTTAAGGACTAATTTTACACATTTTTTTTCTTAAGCATTTTTAACATCTCAGCGTGCTTTTAGTTGGAAATCAGCCAATTAATTGTAAAAGCACTTCAAAACCCCCAGTTAATGAATATCTGCGTGTGTACAAAGAAGGATATACATATTTATATTTATTTGAACAGCAAATGTAAATATTCTTTTCTTAATAATTTTTATGATATTTTGAGATAATATGAATTCATTCTACGACTTAGATTCAGGGATGCTTTTTTTCAGTTCTTGTATCTGTTCCTCTCCGAGTTTAATTCTATCCTCAAGTTCCTGACAATCAATGGTTAATTTGGATTTCATCTTAATATAATAATTATAGTCTTCCATTTCCTCAATGGATAATCTAGCTTCTAACATGGCAGACACAAGAACACAACGTTTGTCAATATCTTCTTTCAATAATTTGGCTTCTTCATGTTTGTTGTGAAGTCTTTCACACTTATCTATCGTTAATTTCTGCAAAAATACAAAAGAAAATCAAAATATGATCTTCCAATATCAATCTTTTCACTTCTGAGTGTCACTGTACTGTAAGGCCATGCCAATTTGAATTTCAAAGGGGAATTACGTAAGATTTAATATTTCACATATAGATAATGCAAAATGAATATACTGTAAATTTCATTCAAATTTCTTTATTTTGAGCAAATTTATCAATGGTTGTTGTTTTGACACAATGTGTGCATTGACCATAACCACTACACTGGTCATTCAAGTCTTAGCCTCGCTTCTCCATTTTTAAATTAAATCATTAAATGGCCAAACCAGAGCTATCCGATGGCATCAAGAGTTGATTATAATCTTGTCATGTTAATAAATTTCTAATTAATAATTTATATAATATTTAAGGCCCAAAGAAAGACCTGCAATAGGCAGATTTAGCTCTTACATAATTGCCTGTTTAATATTTTGTTGGGACAAACATAATTCAAAAATATGGTTACTCTTCTCAAAAGCTTTTAGTTCCAAATAGTTAAGCTTTGAAATATGACACAAAATATCATTCATGTGATCCAAATTGCTATTTATTAACCAAGACGAAGAAGAACTATAAATCAAATTGGTCTGGCCGAAGTATTACACATTATAATTATACAATTCCAGTCTACTGGTCCAATAAGTGTGCCATTTCTTATACATTTAACAGATACTGTTTTTTTCTTGTGAATATCTTTATAAGTGGGTTATAAAGCAGAATATTCTTGTTGGCCCAAGTAATTGATGACACACTAAAATTTTACGTTATCCTACAGCACACATAGTTGCTCCATATTTTTAAATTGAGAAAACATTTCCATATGAACCAATGAACAACTGATAAAAAGAATTCTTAGTGGAAATATAACCTCAACAGTGGATGATGATAATACTATCATACCTTTACTTTAGGATTAGTAGATGATGCCAGACTTTGAACAGCATTTTCAGCCCTTGCTAATTGGCCAGATAAATTTAGCAATAAACGAACTATCTTCTCTAGGTCTTCAATAAAATACTTAAACTTTTCTTGTTCCGATTGATGTGGGCATCGTTCAGTCACGATTTCAACAACCTGCAAGAACAAGACATTTTATATAAAATCATTTATTTCTAATTTGCCATGATCATTTAGCCATAGATAACATCAGTGTCAAACCATTTTGATAAATTGCTGGAAATTAAATGGAATGCTAATGCATTAAAGGGAGATAATCTTTACTTCAAAAACAGAAATCATCTCTTGCCACCAATTGTAACTGTTAAGGTGTCTTTTACATGTATGCCAATGTATACACAGTTGGATTTTGGTTCCTTGTCCCAGCTCTGTAGTTGCTACCCATGTCAAGCGTGAACCTGTTTAATTATCAATAAACTTACCTTTTCTCCTAACTGATCATTCTCAGTTATTTCTTGTAATAACATCTCTTTTTCTTTCCGTAAAATATCCAGTTTCTTAAATAACTTCTCCATTAGTTCTTCCTATAAACATAAAACAAATATAGTAAATATATGTACACTGATGTATACACATCCACCCCAGGCATGATTCTACCACACTAAACTCATATAAATACGATTATTAGTTTATTTTTATTTCATGACACCGCAGGTTCATCATACTATATAAAATTCCAGATTTAGCATTTAGTGAGCACCTTAGGGCATATCAAATTAAGTATCAAGTTCTTCATGTCATCATGAATAAATAGAAAGTCAGGTTTTGTTTAAACTTCGAAAGATCACAAATTTAGAGCAACTATCTTCTACCTTTGGCGATGACAAAATATCTATCACTGACGGCTTTGTAAATTGTACCTTACCTGAACACTAACCCATGCACTTGCAATGTGAGTTATGTAGAGTCTAGCCATGGGGTATTTGTAGACAGGAAGTCTCAACTAAAGGGGTTTAAACTAACGTCCATGCAACAAAACCAGTTGATTTTGGGAGCAAAATATGGTAGGGTTCTTTAGCAGTGAGAAGAAGACGGAGGACCCGGAGACAACCCACAAGGTTGGACAGGTGACCCTACTCTTTCACATAAAAGCTTGGGCTCAGAACCATTAATAATGGACCTACCTTTTGTTTAACCAATCCACTACTACTGTTTATAATATCTTTGGTCATGTCTTTTGTCATTTCCTCATCATTACGAATCTGCATTTCCATTACAGCTTTTGGTGGAGATATGAAATACAAAGCTGGTAAAGAAGAACTGAAAAACAAAAAAAATATATTTTATAGAAACAAATTCACATATCTCAAGATTTAATCTTTCCAAATCTCAAACTCTCAAGATTAAATTCATTGAAGACATGGAATCTTAGAATCTTATTTCTGAAGTTTATTCCTCAGCAACAGGATGTCATTGACTCCACATAGCAGCAATCATCCATAACTAAATTATTTCTACAATTCTTGGCTTTTCTTTTTTTTTTATGTCTTGTCTGAACTAAAATGTTTGGAGATAAGGAGTATTTTTTGTTTTTATACTGGTTTTCTCCCCCAATAAATAGATATTCCCAAACAACAAAATTTATATGGGTGTGGCCTTGGACCTAAAATCCCCACTGTACAGTGATCTACAAAAAATTTCTAACTTACGAATTATCAAGATTGGTCTGGTTTTTGTTTGGGCTACTTTCATCTTTGGTACTTTTAGGTACATTCTCATCAGATGATAATTTTCGTGGCTGAACATTTTCAATAAACAGCCCATCCATATATTGCATGCGTTTTGTATTCGAATCCTGAATCAGGACATCGGATAACTTTTTATCTTGCTCTTCTAACTCTTTAGCAAGTTCTTTTGCCTGTTTATCACAATCTAGTTCTTCCTGTGACCGCTGTCGGCCATGACAGATAGTCCCTGGAGGAAGCACAGAACCACTAGTTGTTTTCTTCAAAGAAGAGTCATTTGATTGCACAGTTTTCGGGGAATTGTTGTTGGTTGGTGAGGAAAGACTTGTGTTTGAATGGGGAGATGAACGCATAGCACTATTGGACGAAACAACGAAAGATTGACTGTTCGATTGGGTCGGAGAGTTAATGCTCCTGTTCCCATCTTGTTGACTTTTGTTTATATCACTGGTATTAACCCCCTTTGTTTTGTTCTGAGACGAAATATCACTTTTAACGGAACTCTTAACACTGAAATTATCACCACTGCCATCTCTAGAAATTTCCCCACTGCTTCTCGAAGAGGGAATGCTAGAAGTTAACCTTAGTGAGGTTTCCGTGGCTGAATTCCTCGACACTTCACCCTTGTATTGGGTCACACGATCACTATAGTTACTAATATTATTGTTTGTAACATTTTCACTGACTTTTGTACTACCAATGTTTTGAGAAGACCCTCTGTTGTCTCTAGCTTGTTGAATATTTTCCGCTTCCATAGAGATTTTGTTCCCATCATCTGGTCGATTATGTGTTATACTTTGAGTGGGTTTTTGTGGGAGTTTATCCGTATGAAGAGGGGAATAACTCGTTTGATAAGGTCGAGCTCCGTACGGTGTAGGAGAGTTAAACGTACTCCGTTTTTTAATTTCCTCTTGACTTGGGATATTTCTCACGGGACTTGGCGGCTGATTAAAAGTCTTACTGCGCTGAATATTGAGATTCTCGTGAATGTTTCGAGGCTGTAGTCCAAGGTTCACAGGAGAGTTGGCAATGCTTTCGTTTTTAGTCAGCCAAGCAGTTACGGAACGATTAGCATCAGTCTGAGATTTTGTTGGACTCTCGTAGTTATAGACACGGTTTCTCACAGCTTCTTTATCGTGTCCACTCTTTGAATTATCTGGATTTTGAGGAAGAGAATCAAACCTCTGAGCACTTGTATTAGAGTTTGGCACAGAATGTGTGTTTTGAGCACTGTAATTGCTAGATTTTGTAGATATCGTATTCGGTAGAGCACCAGGAAATCGATGTACGGGTGCCACCAATGGCTGAACTGTACCTTTAATAACATCACGGACAGAACTCTCAACCTTAAATGACGGCACATTTCGTGGAGGGTCATTGGGAAAATCACGGGGACGCTTCGGTTGAGATACGGCGCCGTTGAGCGATGACTCACTATTCCAGGAATTCTGTCCCAGCTTTTTCTTCTCCGTGTAACCAAGGCCATCCTCTGGATATTCTTGATTTTCAATACGGACAACAGCCGAACCCGAAACAGATCTCTGGTAATTTCCAGGGGCTCGACTTTTCTTGTTTTTATAAGCACCATAGGAATCGTCTGCAAACCTGAAATTAGATAAAATATGAAATTGAGTAAAGGAAAATCATAAACAAGGTTGTAGTCTAAAATAATATGATGAGATAAAATTAATACTACCTGGAGTCACTACAATAATAAAATGTTTTAATGGAGGCAACAAATTTCTTGATTTATTGTATACGATTCTTCTATATATATCTTCTATATATATAAAAAAAGTAAATAAAAAAATCTCCACAATGCTTGGTAAATTGAAATATGTTTATGTCTTCTTTGTGCTATTTAACCAATCAGTTTTCATGTTGTTTCTTTTCTGATGATAGGTTTGATGTTAAGTGTAGTGTTCCTAATATCAATATTTGCTTATGACGGGTTTGATGATCAGTGTAATGTTATTACTAATACTGATATTTTCTGATGACGGGTTTGATGTTAAGTGTAATATTATTAATATTGATATTTTCGGATGACTGTTGATGGGTTTGATGTTAAGTGCAATATATATTACTGATATTGATATTTTCTGAGGACGGGTGTGATGTTAAGTGTAATGTTATTACTAATACTGATATTTTCTGATTACAGGTTTGATGTTAAGTGTAATATTATTAATATTGATATTTTCGGGTTTGATGTTAAGTGTAATGTTACTAATATTAATATTTTCTGATGAATGTACACAGGACCTCAGATTTTCATACAACTAGACACATTTTACCTGTCAGACGTGAAGAGGTTACACTTGACAAGTGAGAGAAACACTTTGTGTAATAGCTGTGTTTATAATTTTATTTACATAATATTAGTTTGGAGATTTATCTAACCATGTAAGCCATTCCTTTATAGCAAAACTATCTATATAAATAAGTTTATTTTAATAGCAATGTGAGAAACATGTACAATGGTAATTAAACCATGTTTATTTTTAACAATTCCAGATCTCTTCATGATAAGATAGTTGAAATACTGTATCTTAAACCTATACTTTCAACATTCACATGCTTTTCATTTCTCTCACAGCACTGCCAAGATAAATATATTTAATATGGGTTACTTAGCAACTTATTTAATTCAAGTCTCATTGAAAATACAAAACCGAAATAGAACTATGTATAAATACTTGTAATGAGTGCCAGAGGTGAAGTACTTGAACTTTGAAATAATCATTATCTTATTACTCATTTTACTCAAACAGAAAAATAGTGTCATTTGATTAACCAGAGGTATATATATATATAAACCCTAGAAAAATGAAACAAGATTTATTTCTGCACTAACCAGGCTAATAATGAAATGAAATGGGATTTAAAGGTCACCGGAAAAGCATCAATTTTTTTTTCAACATTAGTAATTTCCGCCATTCTCTGTGGGTAGTTAGAATTTTCCGTCAATAAGCAATCCGTGACGTCATTTTAGTCCTTCTGCACATAGAAATATAGACTAGAATATGAGCAGAAGGACTAAAATGACGTCACAGATTGTTTATTTACGGAAAGTTACAACTATCCACGGAAAATGGCGGAAATTAGTAATGTTGAAATTTACCTGTTGCAGGTAATATTGACATTCGGGTTCGTGTTATACTTATGGAAAGGATATGTTGACATAATTACTTGCATTATTTAAAAAATTTATGAACCTTTTCCGGTGACATTTAATGTCCTTCATCGCTGTATTAAAGGGGCTAATAAAGATGGTAATATTCCATGAAGGGTGATATGAGGAAAGTTGGCCTAGACTGCAACATTTCCACCTTCTTTATCAACTTCCATCCATCTAGGGTTCATTCACAAGCATGGTAACAAGTCCATGGACTTCCAACTGTCATGGGTTCTTTTACAAGCACGCTTATAACAAGTCCATGGATTATTCATCCAATACATTTTCCCTTGCTAGAACATTTGGCCTGCATCACTGACAAGGGAAAACCAAGATGAGAAACTTTCTCAACCAACTCCAGGATTGAACTTGGGACCTCTTGGTTAGTTAGCAAGTGTGTTAATCATCAACCCACCATGACTCCCTGTACATGAATGGAATGTCAGAAATGCTTTATCATGTAGTGATTTCGAGAACAATCATGCACTTCTAATGATTTCTTGTGGAATCAAATAATGTTCACCATCTTGTTAATACTTATTCAACTAAGAGGCAACATTTTCCTTACTTTATCTATAGATTAAAGAACACTTGAATTTGACACGGTCGGTAGCATCTACATAAAATTTCAACTGTTCAGGAATATTTTACGCATACAGACAATATGTAAGTGGGAACATATATTAAAACATCCTGAAAATACAACGCTAATCTACTGCCTTGATTCTATAACTTCTAACATTTCCAATCTGTTGAATTCTGATCGATAGTCCAGTTCCCTAATCTACTGCCAGAACCTCTTAATTTCATACATAATGTAAAAATGTTGAAACTATACTTCTTAATCAGACTTAAGATCAAAATTATTTTGACAACGCTTTTAGATCTCCCGAATTCCTAGTAAATGATTGGTATAGAGCAATAAATAAATTAGATTGACAGGTTGGATATATTTACATCACCTGGACAAGTAGAAGATGTAAAATGTGAAGTTTGATATTTAAAGCCTGTGAGAGATGACAGTGTAAAGTGATATAGAAATGTCTGAAACACTCGACTATTCCCTGAAGACAGCTCGATACATGTAGCATTCCACTCCACATGAACTGTTTATTAGAAATCATATACTCTGCCAGTTACAAGCAAATGATATATGCTAGTTTTAACCTTTAGAAATAGGTGAAACCAGGTGTTAAAGCTCGTTAATCAAGGTAAGCTATAGGAAGATGTATATTATATCTATTAAATACCGATTGAAGGTCAACTAGATATTACACCTAGTTTTAGTTATTATATATGATACAGATATTTCCATTACCTCCAAATGACAACAACGTGGGTATCAGATATTTGGCAATCTCTTCAATACAGTACCTGTATATAATACAATACTCAAGATAATATTAATGACACCCATGCGGTTTAATTTATGTGATTTCACAAACTGTCTAATATTACTGCCTATGGTGTTGTAGTAGTCAAGTAATCAATTTAAGATACTGGACTCTTTTGACTTGAATGTCTCGGTTTCAAAATCAGGTGTAGGCTAATAAGAATCTAGAGGATTTTTCAAGTCCAGCCTTCACTTGTGATAGCAGTGTGTACACAAGATAAAATCATTGTAAACCAGGCCCCAATAAACATGGTGGGATCAAAAATCTCTGTTGTACATTTAAATACGATATTGTTGCATTGATAAACTGAATCAAGACATACTGAATGCACTAAATATAAACTACAGGTAAACAGGTTAAATCAAAATAAATTCTATTCTATTTATTTGACTAATTGTTGGCCTTGCAGATGAGAAACAAAGCGAAATGGTTTGACATTTTTGGCAGGGGATCAATATATCAAGCACCATGTAACAAAAGTAACAGTCTGATAGAAAAACAAGATTACATCTATAGAAGAAGTATGAATGATGAATTTTGGTTGGATTATATTACTTACCTATATATAGAATATAGATAATAAATAGTTCTCTCTACCTCAACTCTGTCCAAATAAACAAACAACAGATACTCTTTACTCTCATTAACTTCCACTCTTACAAACCATAATATATAGAATCATTCATTCAGCAACATAATTTTGCATCTATCTTTCCCGCCAAGACACTATGAATTCTGGCGCTTGTTCACTTATTATCAATTTTCATGTGACTTTTTTACCAGAAATTGCTACTTAAGGTTTTATTCGATTCAAATAACCTACATGTACATTGATCAATTTTAAACAAATCTCCCAATTATAAACAATAGAAGTAATAGAATGTGCAATCCGGACATTGTCAAGATAATATAAGACATTGCCAGGCATATGTACCACTGGTGGATGTCCAGCAAGGATTTGACATTTTTCAGTATAGTCTTGTTAATACTTTTAATACATATCCAATATTAAATCGCAGGTATAACTGAGTAAGTGTCTGACTTTTTTGGTCAGGCACAACTTAATCATTATTTTCAAGCCTGGGCCAGTGGAGTCTTGTTAGCTCCTTTCACTATGAATTAATCTTGTTAGCTCCCTTTCACTATGAATTAATCTTGTTAGCTCCTTTCACTATGAATTAATCTTTTACACTGACTATATACAGTTTAAACAAAATTTTATAGTAATTCTGGCAGCCTCTGATGTAAAAAGAGGGAATAAGATATACATTTTAATGTCCCACATGTATTTCTAAATAATTTTAGACATACTAAACCACACACCAGGTATACATGTATATTCAAGTTCAAACTCAAGAGGCATTAATCAGGAACAACAGTAATGTTTTCTATATAAACCTAGAGTAGTTTTATTGGATTTCTACTTACTATAGATTTAACAGTTAAAATAACAAGCAGGGAGTTAGTTTTAACAACTAGAATAATACACACTGATATTCCTGGTGCAAACTTTCATGTTACTTCATCAGTTATACAATAGATAAGATATCATCTGGTATTATAATCATTACTATCTAATGACATTCAAATCTATATACGATGCCTTCAAATAGATTACTCATTTCTTGGGTCAATTTATGTATGCTTCAGTTGAATTGATATTTTGCCTTTTTAAGTAATTTAATATGCCATTCAGTCAGACACTTTAAGTTAATCTGGATTAAAAAAGAAAGGCAATTAAAAAGCTACCTGAACTTTGTTGTCCGAGCGCAAATAAACCAGTTTAAAAACCATGCTGACTACTTGTATTCAAGAAAGCTTATCTGAGCTGTCTAAAAAGGTTATTTTAAATTGGCAGGTTTGAAAATCTTTGAATTTGCAGTTTTAATGTAGGATATATTATATATGCGTCCATTATTAAATGTAACCTCTGACCATAGTTGTTATAACTGTCAAGCTGTTTAAAAAATACACACACCTGGCTTAAAAACACTAGCAGTTTTAAACTGGCTTATATATGGCCATCTAAAGGG